TGAGACAGTGGCAGTCTGCACCAGTCTACGAATTTACCTTAGGATCTATTTGACACATCTTTACAATCACCTTTCAGTGATTGGCCAACTGATCGGTGATGATAAACACATGTAACCGTCACAGGTTCATTACCAACTTCGGAAATCTCTTCCGTCACGTTTACTGTATCTTCCATTTTTTTTACGTCTTGTACTTGATCAATCGTGACCAACTCGTGTTATTCCGGGACAAGCCGAATAGCGACTCGTGCCCCTCTCATGGCCATTTTTGCGACTAGGTTCCGTCTTAGCGCAAACGGGCATACCTAAAACAATTGTCAACTCGTTGCGTAATGGTTCACATATATTTCCCCATATATTATATATATTTCTGATGCAATCTAAAGGACATCGGGACGTGCGGAATTATACAGTATGATTAAACACATTTAACTGTGTCTTGGGTATATTTTTAGGTGCAAGTCATATGTAAAATCAAACATTATTTCTGAGGGATTATTTGACAAAGAACTCGAAATCATACGCGCATTCTGATTGGTTTGTCGTATTTTCGCACATAACATTCATCGAGAGGGGGACGAGTCTTCTTGCAGGTTACGGAAAGGGGCGAGTGGTGACGAATGGTATTTGATGTAAATGTATTACGACGCGCTGTCATTGTGAATGACTTACCGAGGTAGTTCGTAACCTATCCCGACCAATGATGATATTTTTTTAATACATTTCTTGTAAACAAACCACAATAGATGTTCTTTTAAAGCAAGATGAGCATACATACGCTCATGTCACCTCTCTTTTGGGGATCTATTTTCCTCGATACAGCTGGTTGTTGTATAGCTGTCAGTGTAAACATGAAGTCACACGTTCAGATCGAGCGCTACACCCCTCGATATATAGGATAGTGATAAAAAAACCTTATAAGAATTTACTGTCACATTATATAAGTTTATTGGAGTATGAACCTTTATAGAGTGAGGACCGAATTATATGAACGTCGGAGCCCTCACTCTCAAGTCGTAAATGGACACCCCCTTTAACACCCCTTGCATTTGACTCCTCTTTAAAGGTCCTGGAATGGTCTTGGTAGATCAGGGTCATGTTAGCAGTAGAGGGTAACACAGTGCGAAAGTCGAATATTACATAGTAGGCAGTGATAATGTACTGCTGGCAACACGCTGCCATGTTTTAAGAGCATGAACCACGGCTCGCGTTTCATTAACCACTGGTTGTGTGTCATACATATTGCCTATGTTGCGTTTTGATTTCAACACCGTGGTTAACAACACGACCTGTCTGTGTAACATACACCTTCTGTAACTATAGCAACAGTTGATGCGTTTCCGGCCACGTGGAGTTTAGAAACATATGAAACTTCCACCGTTGCAGTCTGCTTATTTAAAAATACGACCATTGTAATCACAAGTCGATTTAATCTAGAGCTTAAATGTCCTCCATGGTAAAATTGCAAAAATTGTTTTACACAATCGACATTCGATACTCACCCTCGTGAGAGGGTCTCCATCTGTGTCGATCGTTCCCTGATAATTACAATACTCAAATAACCTTATGGTATGTATAGCTAGTCGATCGATAACACTAGTAGTACATTACACCAGAAACAATATCTTCAGGTGGCATTTAACAGACTTTAGTATCAATGAGAAAAATGATTTCAACTTCATATTCTTTCCTAGCGACGTTTCGGTACTGATGCTAGTGCGTTGATGAAGCGTCACACCATGCCACCCCATCACATTCGGCCAAACTGTTTTACGACTGGCATCACGGGTACAGAATGATTGATTGTTTTCACTATAGAACAAATACAAGTGTGTCGTCCGTGATGAGCAGCTAGGGTAACTGTAACACGACAATGTATGACTGCTGTCTTGGTGCCTTGATTGTTTATGTGTTGTGCTCGAGTAACTGTAAGACGACAATGTATGACTGCTGTCTTGGTGCCTTGATTGTTGATGTGTTGTGCTAGGGTAACTGTAACACGACAATGTATGACTGCTGTCTTGGTGCCTTGATTGTTTATGTGTTGTGCTAGGGTAACTGTAACACGACAATGTATGACTGCTGTCTTGGTGCCTTGATTGTTTATGTGTTGTGCTAGGGTAACTGTAACACGACAATGTATGACTGCTGTCTTGGTGCCTTGATTGTTTATGTGTTGTGCTCGGCTCACTCGGCACTATTCAGATATGGCGGGCAGTGAATAATCGAGTCTCGATCAGAATAAAAAAATGGATGAGTAATGTGGAAGATACGGAACCCTTTTAGGGCCATTTTTTAATTATTTTTTTTCAATACTAAGTTGAAATTTCAAGATACTAAGTACCGTCCTGGGTTCGATTCTCTGCATTGGTACAACGCGTGAAGCCCATTTGTGTTGTCTCCCGCCGTGGTATTGCTGGAATATTGCTGGAAGCGGCGTAAAACTCAACTCATTCACACTCACTTGTGTAAGTCGTACATTCCGCGTCAATTGTTTGTACCGGAATTTCTTTAGCTTGCACATACCCGTCACATGTCGGTGTACGTTGACCTAGCCCAGTTCACCACAACCTCTGTCGCCGTTTACAGCAATGATGTTGCTCTGGACGTTGGACTTCTGTGGGTGATGAACCGACATAGTTCAGGGGATGAACAGTTAAGGCAATAAATGTCATACTATAAATAACAGTAATTAACGGGAAGTGATATAGTAGCCCAGGTTGGCTGACAGTCAATATATAATGATATACATCATAGTCTGTTGGCCAGGGGTGAAAAACAAGATTTTCATTCTCACTGCATAAAGAAGGTATCTGTACGCAGTTTTCATTTGGTGGTAAGCTTGCAAGTGTGTGCGTGAATTTTCACGGGGTCATAATTGCATAAATTGCATGAAAAATGCATAAATTGACAAAATTTGCTGTATCATTTTTATTAAGTCATTAAACTATCCAAATTATGGCTATGAGTACATGTTATATGTTCGGATATATGAATTTGGCAAACACTTTGTTTCAATGAACTGTTATTCTAATTCTCAGTGAAAACATTGATAAAAGTCATGTTTTTCTCCTTCTTTTCCAAATCTTGTGAGTAGGTTAAACACTAATTCCATTGAATTTTGGCAATAAAATCACTATAACTTCATATCGAAATCTGCCTTAACCATTGTGCTATCCTATACAGAAAACAAAATGAATATATAATATAGGGGCTGAAATATTATATACAATGTTACCCCACCCACCAAAAATCAATGTTGACGAAAACTGCTTTTTGAGACATGGTGGTTGATTATGTTAATGTAGTGGATGAGTGGGATAGTTGCAACAATGCTGAAAAAAACCACAAAAATAATAAAATCATAAAGAAAAATGATGTTTCAAGTTTTTCTATGAACATCGATGTTGGCCATAGTGAATTTCAAGATGGCTGCCGTTTGGACCTGTTTTCAAAATCAAGATCTAATATAGTTCTTCAACATGGTAATATCTCACATGAAAGCTTTTTACATTGTCTTTTCAATTATGTATGGTATTAACTGACTTCTGTGGTAAATTCATCCCTAACAATAAAACAAATGATATATTGAAAGCTAATTTCTCTAGCGACACCAACCCAAACCCAAAGTCAGATTTCAATTAAAATGGACATAGTTTCACTCAAATATGTAGATATACTGCACTTTTGCCGGAGCATTTCACTAGTTTAACAATTGGATGAAACAACACGTGAATACGTGTAGTATTATGAAGTATATAAAAAGTAAATCACAGTGTCAAGGGCTGTGAAATAATGTCACCTCTAGTCACCTTCAGAGTCCATCTTTTCTGGGAGGTTGGTAAGTTGCTTCTGTTTAGGCATGACATAGCATAATTGCATCCAAGGGAACATCCGAAGCTGTTCTTGGCGCAACTCCACCTGGGTGAGGAGCATCTGCTTATTGTGCATTTACAGGTGAACAAATCTAGTTTACAGCATTCGTTCCTGAACATGGGGACCATGACATCCTTAGTAGACGTCCACATATACTCTTGTGTCTGTAGGAGTTTCTCTAGGTCTCCAACATGTCAGCGCTTAGTGTATTAATGCTAACTGCAGTAGATGCTGGATTGTACACTTTGATGACAAATGATTCTGCCTTATTCATGTCGAAGGCACCACTTTCTTCTGTTTGTTGCAACAAATCTGGTTGTGCGATAAATATGTTCCAGGTCGACCTCTTCCTATTACTTCTGAACTGGCTTGTTGTGTTACAACCTGTGACCGCGCGGAATGTTGGTAGAGCAGCTACAACATCTGGAGTGATGTACAGCATCAACTGGTATGAATCGAAGGTCCTTTGCAGCACCTGCACTCATCCATATCAGAGCAGAAAACCGATGTTTATGATGTATCAACAGTACTAACATCAGTGTCTCGGCTGTGAATGACAATACGGTCGTATCCATTGCAGGAGGCAATACTCAAAATGTTACAGCCAATTTTGTCAAAGTATGCATTTTAACCTTCCAATTAAGCAATTTTGACCCCTTGAAAATTCACGCACACACTTGCAAGCTTACCACCAAAAGAACATAGCGTACATTTGCCTTCTTTATGCAATAGAAAAGGTTTAAGGTATACGGGAAAATGTGGGAACGAAAATCTAAACTAAGCCTCTTTTCTGATGGTGGCCAACTGACTATTATACTCAGATCTGTATTGCTTACATCAGCGACCATCTATTATATGGTCTCTGCTTACATTTATCATCCAAAACTGGCTCCCACAGGAGATATCGCTTGTGTGAGATCGAGCGATATCTACATTGTAGCTAATTAACTGTCAGTACACATATGAAAGTAAACAATGCCATCACCTGACAGGCACTACACTCGTCCACAAGGTCACGCTCTCCTTGTGTGGCATCATGGGACACACTGTCGTTGGCGTCACGGAGCGTTTAGGTTTCATCGATAATATCAGACTAGGGCTCCTTTCAGAGGGCGCGCTCACAACGGATCTGTTAGGACACCAACGATGACTTGACTTGCTGCTCTTGGTGTGAAGAACATCCCTCTTTGAGATGTCATTGAGTATGTATTCGCTGGACCTGTGTATTCTGCTAGGGACCACACTTATGGTAGCTGGTGGTAAGTTGAGGCATCTTTACTTTTTCATAAAAAACACTACAGCAGTCCCGAAGATAAGCAAAATGTACATGTAACAAACATTAATAACGGACTAAGGAGATAAACCTATTTTTATTAATCGATATGAAGGCTATCGAGGTATTCCCGTGCACGTATTTTGGGGGAAAGGTTTAAACTGTTTGAAAGGGGTTTCCGTAACAAAAAGGAAACCTCTTTTTAACTTATCAGAATCAAGCATTCATCAATGTCATGGTACAATACATTATAATATTGAATTAGTCTTAGCAAAATCTATTTGTGAGGGTAATATTGTCGTGAACAGATCCAGTCGTTTTAATATCAATATCTATCATCTTGTAGATTAGTATTTCAAAACAACACGGGCTTGATATTAATGCTCTTGACAAAGCATGTTCATCTAATGTCGCATGAATTGAAATATTGGAATAAATCATGAAGACTGCCTTCGTTATGATAACTACAGCTGCTGGTAGGATCATCATGAATAAATCTGTAAAACCTCTGTTTGTTAAGATCGGTACAGCCTACTCTTAATTTACACCTTCTTGAGTACAATTTTAGTAACATTATACCTCCGATCTCAACATGCTATGTACGACCAGCTTCTTATGTACAATTTTTGTAACTAAATACCTCCGATCTCAACATGCTATGTACGACCAGCTTCTTGAGTAGAATTTTAGTGACATAATACCACCGATCTCAACATTATATGTACGACCAGCTTCTTGAGTGCAATGTTAGTTACATTATACCTCCGATCTCAACATGCTATGTACGACCAGCTTCTTGAGTAGAATTTTAGTAACATAATACCTCCGATCTCAACATTATATGTACGACCAGCTTCTTGAGTACAATGTTAGTAAAATTATACCTCCGATCTCAACATGCTATGTACGACCAGCTTTTTGAGTACAATGTTAGTAACTAAATACCACCGATCTCAACATGCTATGTACGACCAGCTTCTTGAGTACAATTTTACTAACTTAATACCACCGATCTCAACGTGCTATGTACGACCACCTTCTTGAGTACAATTTTAGTAACATAATACCTTCGATCTCAAAATTATATGTACGACCAGCTTCTTGAGTGCAATGTAAGTAACATTATACCTCCGATCTCAACATGCTAGGTACGACCAGCTTCTTGAGTACAATTTTAGTAACATAATACCTTCGATCTCAACATGCTATGTACGACCAGCTTCTTGAGTACAATGTTAGTAACATTATACCTCCGATCTCAACATGCTATGAACAACCAGCTTCTTGAGTAAAATTTTAGTAACTTAATACCACCCATCTCAATATGCCATGTACGACCAGCTTCTTGAGTACAATTTTAGTAACTTAATACCACCGATCTCAACATGCTATGTACGACCAGCTTCTTGAGTACAATTTTAGTGACATTATACCACCGATCTCAACATCCTATGTACGACCAGCTTCTTGAGTACAATTTTAGTAACATAATACCACCGATCTCAACATCCTATGTACGACCAGCTTCTTGAGTACAATTTTAGTAGCATAATACCACCGATCTCAACATGCTATGTACGATTAGCTTCTTGAGTACAGTTTTAGTGACAAAATACCAACGACCTCAACATGCTATGTACGACCACCTTCTTGAGTACAATTTTAGTAGCATAATACCACCGATGTCAATATGCTATGTACGACCAGCTTCTTGAGTACAATTTTAGTGAGATAATGCCACCGATCTCAACATGCTATGTACGACCAGCTTCTTGAGTACAATTTTAGTAACTTAATACCACCGATCTCAACATGCTATGTACGACCAGCTTCTTGAGTACAATTTTAGTAACATAATACCTTCGATCTCAAAATTATATGTACGACCAGCTTATTGAGTACAATGTTAGTAACATTATACCTCCGATCTCAACATGCTATGTACGACCAGCTTCTTGAGTACAATTTTAGTAACTAAATACCACCGATCTCAACATGCTATGTACGACCAGCTTCTTGAGTAGAATTTTAGTAACATTATACCTCCGATCTCAACATGCTATGTACAACCAGCTTCTTGAGTACAATGTTAGTAACTTAATACCACCGATCTCAATATGCTATCTACGACCAGCTTCTTGAGTAGAATTTTAGTAACTTAATACCACCGATTTGAACATGCTATGTACGACCAGCTTCTTGAGTACAATTTTAGTGACATAATACCACCGATCTCAACATGCTATGTACGACCAGCTTCTTGAGTACAATTTTAGTGACAAAATACCACCGACCTCAACATGCTATGTACGACCAGCTTCTTGAGTACAATTTTAGTAACATAATACAACCGATCTCAACATGCTATGTACGACAAGCTTCTTGAGTACAATTTTAGTAGCATAATACCACCGATCTCAACATGACATCTACGACCAGCTTCTGGAGTGCAATTTTAGTGACATAATACCACCGATCTCAAAATGACATGTACGACCACCTTCTTGAGTACAATTTTAGTAGCATCATACCAACGATCTCAACATGACATGTACGACCAGCTTCTTGAGTGCAATTTTAGTAGCACAATACCACCGATGTCAACATGATATGTACGATCAGCTTCTTGAGTACAATTTTAGGAGCATAATACCACCGATCTCAACATGACATGTACGACCAGCTTCTTGAGTACAATGTTAGTAACATAATACCACCGATCTCAACATGATATGTACGACCAGCTTCTTGAGTAGAATTTTAGCAACTTAATACCACCGATCTCAACATGCTATGTACAACTAGCTTCTGGAGTACAATTTTAGTAACATAATACCACCGATCTCAACATGATATGTACGACCAGCTTCTTGAGTACAATTTTATTACCATTATACCACCGATCTCAACATGATATGTACGACCAGCTTCTGCAGTACAATTTTAGTAGCATAATACCACCGATGTCAATATGCTATGTACGACAAGCTTCTTGAGTACAATTTTAGTAGCATAATACCACCGATGTCAATATGCTATGTAGGAGCAGCTTCTTTAGTACAATTTTAGTAGCATAATACCACCGATCTCAATATCCTATGTACGACCAGCTTCTTGAGTACAATTTTTGTAGCATAATTCACATTGGAAATCACAAAACTGGAAAGTAAAAAAAAAGCAGCAAAGAGCAACAAGAGACTTATCAAATTAAACATATTCAAATATTATATGTGAAACCTCTGACTCCTAAACACTACGTCAACACTATGTGCGGCGAATCGGATGTAGCCGTGGGATCATTTGCCACGGTGGTGGATCCAGCGGAGTGACTACGAAATATTTGTTGATGAAAATTCTTTCAACTCGTTTGGCCTGAAAGGCCGGGCGAGCTAATATCGTCACAAGCCCCCCCCCCCCCTCATTTTCCATAATTTGTTTCATGTTTTTTTTTCTTTAAATGTGCGTTGATGTGTGTTACCATAAGGGGTTCAAGTTTATTTAAAAAAATCAATATTGCAATTTCACTCTACCCACCAGGCAGCCAGTCACATTGGATTAAAAAGAATTCAAAACATCTTCTCAAAACAATGTAAGGGTCATATAAAACTTGGTGGAAGACATATTGATAGAAAATTCAAAATCGAAAATGCAAAAACATTATTCGTCTTAAACAACTTCTCTTCAGACACCATTTACCGCCTCCGTGGTCTTGTGGTAGAGCGTCCGCCCGGAGAGCGGAAGGTCCAGGGTTCGATCCCGGGCCGCGTCATACAAAAAGACGTTAAAAGATTGTACTTGTTGTAACCCTGTCTGGCGCTCGGCATTAAGGGGCTAAAACAAGGACTGGTCGGCTCGGAGTCAGTATACTGTGTCTGAGTGGGGTATTCATGTTAAACTGCGGCATGGTATCTCAGTGAGCTAGCACTATAAATCGGCATCAGTCCGGACTAGTACAAGCAGCCACACACACACATACACGTGCATGCACGTCGCTATATAAGTGCAATAATCTTGGACGCGACGTTAAACCCAATTTCACCTCACCTCAGACACCATTTGGGCCAATGACCTTTCAAACGAGTGTTCTCATCACTGGTGAAACCTGAATGTGTTCAAGAGATTCGAATCCGAGTTAAGACAGTTATGTATACTGCCTAACTTAAGATCTATGTAGATGTCGCTGCAATGAAATTGAATCATAATGCTTTGCAGACCATTGGGACGTCATTGGTTACTATGACGTCACAATCAATTGACATCACTAAAGGGTCTGCTACTGAAGCTGTTAGCAGTACTTTTACACTAAAGAAGGATCTTAGCACCTTTCATCCTTTGATCGGGGCCCAGAACTGACCTATGTGTAAGGACAAGGTCACAGTGAAGGTCATTAGTAAAGGACATGTTCACTATAATACCTTTAATCTGGCCTTATGGTGATTATAATGTTGGCATAATTACGTGTGACAAGTAATGCCACATTCTGTTGTATCAAACAAAGGTCACTCCGACCAACTTTTAATGAGTTGCATATGCAATTTAATTTCTGAAAGCACAAGGTGATTTATACCTCAGGGATATCATATATCAATCTTTTCGGCACATTGTTATGTCATCAGGGGTCAAGGTCATCATCCAGATTATAACATAAAAACTTAATTTACCACCTAACTCATCGTATGGTCAAGGTCAACGTTATTTGAAAGACAAGTTTCCCACTGGATGTAGATCGTTGAAACTGCGACTAGTAAGTTTGGTAAATAGCATCAGGTCAAAGAATGTACTTTTGTCACAGAAATAGCAGCAGATTAAAACAGTAAAACATAATTTGTTGTTGCGTGCTGCTTACAGGGAGGATATTCAAATAGATGCCAGTCAAGTGAAGAATTAATGTTACGGATAGACTTTTGCTACAATAATAAGAGGGAGACATTTGTCGACGACGCACTTGATTCGTAGACAGGCGCCTGGGTCTTTGTACCCTGCCTGTCCAAGCGATGCATTACAATACTCCTGACCGCAACAACATCGTTTTTACCTTCAGCCAATCACTAACATTTCAACAGGAAGATTCCATCAATAACAAACTCAATTCTGTGGTAATGTTGATTTTACATAATTTCGAAATGATCACGACTATATTATCGTAAATGTATGTTTACAAATCACTATGAAATAGTGCTGATAACAGGTGTTACCGAAAAAGTGAGCATTTCCGTTTTTTAAGCTCTGTGGTAATATGGACTTTGCATTTGAAAAGAATATTTATGCATATATTTGTTGTTGCAGAGAAAATCCAAAATGTCGGAACAAATTTGGTGTGGTCACATGACTATGAATTGGACATGAGGGGACACTGTTCCTTCACGTTCTCTGTGGCATATTGCGGAGCCTTCAAACTGGAGCTGTACCCTGACAAAGATCTCCCCGAACCCAAATACGAGATCTACATCGATCGTTACAGCTTAGAGAAGTATAAAGTTGGAATTAGGAAATCGTGTGATGCCGCGCTTCTACTTTGTTCGAATAACGGTATGAGCACCAGCGGTCACGAGAACACGCCACTTGTCATCTGCGATGGTTCCACGTGGACACCGTTCTGGATATCTTGGTTTGGGGGCGTCATCACCCTGGGGAAGGGGACCACTGTCGGAAAAAACATATTGAAAGAAGTCAGTGATCCACAGTTCCAGCACATCGATTATGTGAAGATGGGAGCTGACAATAAGACGACAGAAGCGAATTATAGATTTGGTAAGTAACATCTAAAAGTGAAACCATGGTATTGACCAGTGAGCAGTGTGACCGATAAGGAATGACGTCTAGGCATAGGATGAACAATGTTTTCAAGTTAAAGGATATACACACATGCTTGTTTTGCTGAGTTGCGTCCCTTAGGTGTGTCCCTTTGCTAGGGTCTTAGGTTCGAATCCAGTATGAGCTCTAATTATTATTAATGATCAGTTAAGGGACGTATCTCTACACAACACAGCACTTTGCCACTTGAACCCCGTGGAAACGTGTCATATTCTAGAAATTGTGTACTTGCTTAATGATGGAAGATAGATCATGGTGTTACAGTTTGAAGGTGGCCATATAGGTCAGGCCCATGTGCATGCAAGACCTGGGATTGTCTGTGGATCATTGTTAGGGGAACACCAAGAGGAATCGGACATAGTAAAAGTGGTTTGTTTTCCGTTTTGTTTGTAAGAGGATGCCTAAAGTTGACGCAGGTTTTTACCACTTCGTGGATGTGTCGACGTCGTAATCCAATCTGTGATTCCAATCCATAAACAAATATAAGTGTATACAGTAAACATGCATCAACATGTCTTCCCTTTTCAATGTACACAGTTTTCTTTACTTTAGAACCCCGCAATGGCAGAACAGTTGACCCAGATATGAGTTGCCGAAATATAGGTGAGTGTATTACAAACATTGTACATCAGAGACAAGTCTGGCTGTTTATTCTGTAGCCAGAAAACAGTTGACAGGACGTATGTAGCTAAAGTAGACAGACTGGCTTCTTGTTGGCCATATGTTGCTTTCTGATATCACACGCTCAATCATTTAACTGTTGTTCTTGGACTTACAGAACATTTTTTGGGACAATGCACTATCATGTAAACAGAGGCAAATCAAACCAAAAGATCGAGAAGAAAGCATTTTACCACATGCTTGGATTAGTTTGAGAAGCCACATCAGCACGCTTTTCTGAATTATATCCCTAAGATGGACCCTTTCGTCTGGTTTTAAATCCCAGTTACTGGATCATGGTCATTGGTCAGCATGATGCGAATTTTTCTGGGTTCTTGATAATCGTAAACGCTTGTGTCGTGCCTCTACTTTGGTCTTCTCTTCCACATTAAGCCAACACTTTGTGATGTGAGTAATTTGCTGCACACTAAGAAGATGAATCCTAACCTCCATCCAAGCATGGATAAAGGATTAAAACATTTGTTTGTGATGCTTCATTAACGCCCTTAGTGCTGACATTCAATTAAACTAGGTTCTGCATGTCTGTGTCTCTTTCTTACATTAGCGACAACTTCAGTTGCTCCGGTTGCTACAGCTACGACGCATGGTACAACAACAGCTGCTACAACCACAACTCCAGCTGCTACAACTCAGACAGGTGGTCCCACAACAGCTGAAACAACAACTACACAAGGTGAGTCGCGCTGAGGTTCAAATACCCTTGCACAGAACAACCTTAAGCTTAGGTGATCATTCAGATTAAAATTTATGAATTAATAATAGGACGCTCCGACAAACGTTTAATAAGAAGCATATTCAATTTCATTTTTGAAACCACATGATGATTTAATACCTCAGGGATATACTATCATGATGGTGTATCTCCTTCATACAACCGGGAAATCGTTTTGGCATCATCGTTATTTCATCAGGGACATGGTCATTGTCCAGATTATTGCATAACAACTTTATTTACCACCAAACTCAAGAAGGATTTTCTCTGTATTTAAAAAAAATGGTCGTTAGGTCAAGGTCATTCGAAAAAACATGTTTCTCATTGGATGTAGACCGTTCAAACTACATCAGGTCAAAGAATGTACTTTTGTCACAGAAATAGCAGCAGATTAAAACAGTAAAACATAATTTGTTGTTCCCTTATTACGTTGTAACCAGCCCTGTAATGGCCCACGTGCTGCTTACAGGGAGGATATTAAAATAGATGCCAGTCAAGTGAAGAATTAATGTTACGGATAGACTTTTGCTACAATAATAAGAGGGAGACATTTTTCGACGACGCACTTGATTCGTAGACAGGCGCCTGGGTCTTTGTACCCTGCCTGTCCAAACGATGCATTACAATACTCCTGACCGCAACAACATCGTTTTTACCTTCAGCCAATCACTAAAATTTCAACAGGAAGATTCCATCAATAACAAACTCAATTCTGTGGTAATGTTGATTTTACATAATTTCGAAATGATCACGACTATATTATCGTAAATGTATGTTTACAAATCACTATGAAATAGTGCTGATAACAGGTGTTACCGAAAAAGTGAGCATTTCCGTTTTTTAGCTCTGTGGTAATATCGACTTTGCATTTGAAAAGAATATTTATGCATATATTTGTTGTTGTAGCGAAAATCCAAAATGTCGGAACAAATTTGGTGTGGTCACATGACTATGAATTGGACATGAGGGGACACTGTTCCTTCACATTCTCTGTGGCATATTGCGGAGCCTTCAAACTGGAGCTGTACCCTGACAAAGATCTCCCCGAACCCAAATACGAGATCTACATCGATCGTTACAGCTTAGAGAAGTATAAAGTTGGAATTAGGAAATCGTGTGATGCCGCGCATCTACTTTGTTCGAATAACGGTATGAGCACCAGCGGTCACGAGAACACGCCACTTGTCTTCTGTGATGGTTCCACGTGGACGCCGTTCTGGATATCTTGGTTTGGGGGCGTCATCACCCTGGGGAAGGGGACCACTGTCAGAGAAGCCATATTGAAAGAAGTCAGTGATCCACAGTTCACGTATATCGACTATGTGAAGATGGGAGCTGACAATAAGACGACAGAAGCGAATTATAGATTTGGTAAGTAACATCTAAAAGTGAAACCATGGTATTGACCAGTGAGCAGTGTGACCGATAAGGAATGACTTCGAGGCATAGGATGAACAATGTTTTCAAGTTAAATGATAGACACACATGCTTGTTTTGCTGAGTTGGGTCCCTCAGGCGTACCCCTTTGCTAGTGTCTTACGTTCGAATCCAGTATGGGCTCTAATTATTATTAGTTATTGGTTAAGGGACGTATCTCTACATAACACAGCACTTTGCCACATGAACCCCGTGGAAACGTGTCATATTCTTGAAATTGTGTACTTGCTTAATGATGGAAGATAGATCATGGTGTTACAGTTTGAAGGTGGCCACATAGGTCAGGCCCATGTGCATGCATGACCCGGGATTGTCTGTGGATCATTGTTAGGGGAACACCAAGAGGAATCGAACATAGTCAAAGTGGTTTGTTTTCCGTTTTGATTGTTAGAGGATGCCTAAAGTTGACGCAGGTTTTTACCACTTCGTGGATGTGTCGACGTCGTAATCCAATCTGTGATTCCAATCCATAAACAAATATAAGTGTATGCATTAAACATGCATCGACATGTCTTCTTTTTTCACTGTATACAGTTTCCTTTACTTTAGAACCCCGCAGTGGCAGAACAGTTGACCCAGATATGAGTTGCCGAAATATAGGTGAGTGTTTTACAAACATTGTACATCAGAGACAAGTCTGGCTGTTTATTCTGTAGCCAGAAAACAGTTGACAGGACGTATGTAGCTAAAGTAGACAGACTGGCTTCTTGTTGGCCATATGTTGCTTTCTGATATCACACGCTCAATCATTTAACTGTTGTTCTTGGACTTACAGAACATTTTTTGGGACAATGCACTATCATGTAAACAGAGGCAAATCAAACCAAGATCGAGAAGAAAGCATTTTACCACATGCTTGGACTAGTTTGAGAAGTCACTTCAGCACGCTTTTCTGAATTATATCCCTAAGATGGATCCTTGCGTCTGGTTTTAAATCCCAGTTACTGGATCATGGTCATTGGTCAGCATGATGCGAATTTTTCTGGGTTCTTGAAAATCGTAAACGCTTATGTCGTGCCTCTACTTTGGTCTTCTCTTCCACATTAAGCCAACACCTTGTGATGTGAGTAATTTGCTGCACACTTAGAAGATGAATCCTAACCTCCATCCAAGCATGGATAAAGGATTAAAACATTTGTTTGTGATGCTTCCTTAATGCCCTTAGTGCTGACATTCCATTAAACTAGGTTCTGCATGTCTGTGTCTCTTTCTTACATTAGCGACAACTTCAGTTGCTCCGGTTGCTACAGCTACGACGCATGGTACAACAACATCTGCTACAACCACAACTCCAGCTGCTACAACTCAGACAGGTGGTCCCACAACAGCTGAAACAACAACTACACAAGGTGAGTCGCGCTGAGGTTCAAATACCCTTGCACAGAACAACCTTAAGCTTAGGTGATCATTGAGATTAAAATTTATAAATTAATAATAGGACGCTCCGACCAACGTTTAATAAGAAGCATGTTCAATTTCATTTTTGAAACCAGAGGCAGGGATATCCTATCATGATGGTGTATCTCCTTCATACACACGGGAAATCGTTTTGGCATCATCGTTATTTTATCAGGGGCATGGCCATTGTCCAGATTATTGCATAACAACTTTATTTACCACCAAACTCAAGAAGAATTTTCTATGTAATTAAAAAAATGGTCGTTAGGTCAAGGTCATTCGAAAAACATGTTTCTCATTGGATGTAGACCGTTCAAACTACATCAGGTCAAAGAATGTACTTTTGTCACAGAAATAGCAGCAGATTAAAACAGTAAAACATAATTTGTTGTTTCCTTATTACGTTGCAGCCAGCCCTGTAATGGCCCGCGTGCTGCTTACAGGGAGGATATTCAAATAGATGCCAGTCAAGTGAAGAATTAATGTTACTGATAGACTTTTGCTACAATAATAAGAGGGAGACATTTTTCGACGACGCACTTGATTCGTAGACAGGCGCCTAGGTCTTTGTACCCTGCCTGTCCAAATGATGCATTACAATACTCCTGACCGCAACAACATCGTTTTTACCTTCAGCCAATCACTAACATTTCAACAGGAAGATTCCATCAATAACAAACTCAACTCTGTGGTAATGTTGATTTTACATAATTTCGAAATGATCACGACTATATTATCGTAAATGTATGTTTACAAATCACTATGAAATAGTGCTGATAACAGGTGTTACCGAAAAAGTGAGCATTTCCGTTTTTTAATCTCTGTGGTAATATCGACTTTGCATTTGAAAAGAATATTTATGCATATATTTGTTGTTGCAGCGAAAATCCAAAATGTCGGAACAAATTTGGTGTGGTCACATGACTATGAATTGGACATGAGGGGACACTGTTCCTTCACGTTCTCTGTGGCATATTGCGGAGCCTTCAAACTGGAGCTGTACCCAGACAAAGATCTCCCCGAACCCAAATACGAGATCTACATTGATCGTTACAGCTTAGAGAAGTATAAAGTTGGAATTAGGAAATCGTGTGATGCCGCGCATCTACTTTGTTCGAATAACGGTATGAGCACCAGCGGTCACGAGAACACGCCACTTGTCTTCTGTGATGGTTCCACGTGGACGCCGTTCTGGATATCTTGGTTTGGGGGCGTCATCACCCTGGGGAAGGGGACCACTGTCAGAGAAGCCATATTGAAAGAAGTCAGTGATCCACAGTTCACGTATATCGACTATGTGAAGATGGGAGCTGACAATAAGACGACAGAAGCGAATTATAGATTTGGTAAGTAACATCTAAAAGTGAAACCATGGTATTGACCAGTGAGCAGTGTGACCGATAAGGAATGACGTCGAGGCATAGGATGAACAATGTTTTCAAGTTAAATGATAGACACACATGCTTGTTTTGCTGAGTTGGGTCCCTTAGGCGTGCCCCTTTGCTAGTGTCTTAGGTTCGAATCCAGTATGAGCTCTAATTATTATAAGTTATCGGTTAAGGGACGTATCTCTACATAACACAGCACTTTGCCACATGAACCCAGTGGAAACGTGTCATATTCTAGAAATTGTGTACTTGCTTAATGATGGAAGATAGATCATGGTGTTACAGTTTGAAGGTGGCCACATAGGTCAGGCCCAAATGCATGCATGACCTGGGATTGTCTGTGGATCATTGTTAGGGGAACACCAAGAGGAATCGAACATAGTGAAAGTGGTTTGTTTTCCGTTTTGTTTGTTAGAGGATGCCTAAAGTTGACGCAGGGTTTTACCACTTCGTGGATGTGTCGACGGCGTGATCCAATCTGTGATTCCAATCCATAAACAAATATAAGTGTATACATTAAACATGCATCGACATGTCTTCTTTTTTCACTGTATACAGTTTCCTTTACTTTAGAACCCCGCAGTGGCAGAGCAGTTGATCCAGATATGAGTTGCCGAAATATAGGTGAGTGTTTTACAAACATTGTAGATCAGACACAAGTCTGGCTGTTTATTCTGTAGCCAGAAAATAGTTGACAGGACGTATGTAGCTAAAGTAGACAGACTGGCTTCTTGTTGGCCATATGTTGCTTTCTGATATCACACTCTCAATCATTTAACTGTTGTTCTTGGACTTTCAGAACATTTTTGGGGACAATGCACTATCATGTAAACAGAGGCAAATCAAACCAAAGATCGAGAAGAAAGCATTTTACCACATGCTTGGACTAGTTTGAGAAGCCACTTCAGCACGCTTTTCTGAATTATATCCCTAAGATGGACCCTTTCGTCTGGTTTTAAATCCCAGTTACTGGATCATGGTCATTGGTCAGCATGATGCGAATTTTTCTGGGTTCTTGAAAATCGAAAACGCTTATGTCGTGCCTCTACTTTGGTCTTCTCTTCCATATTAAGCCAACACCTTGTGATGTGAGTAATTTGCTGCACACTTAGAAGATGAATCCTAACCTCCATCCAAACATGGATAAAGGATTAAAACATTAAAATTTTGTTTGTGATGCTTCATTAACGCCCTTAGTGCTGACATTCCATTAAACTAGGTTCTGCATGTCTGTGTCTCTTTCTTACATTAGCGACAACTTTAGTTGCTCCGGTTGCTACAGCTACGACGCATGGTACAACAACAGCTGCTACAACAACAACTCCAGCTGCTACAACTCAGACAGGTGGTCCCACAACAGCTGAAACAACAACTACACAAGGTGAGTCGCACTGAGGTTCAAATACCCTTGCACAGAACAACCTTAAGCTTAGGTGATCATTGAGATTAAAATTTATAAATTAATAATAGGACGCTCCGACCAACGTTTAATAAGAAGCATGTTCAATTTCATTTTTGCAAATCACATGATGATTTAATACCTCAGGGATATCCTATCATGATTGTGTATCTCCTTCATACACCCGGGAAATCGTTTTGGCACATCGTTATTTCATCAGGGGCATGGTCATTGTCCAGATTATTGCATAACAACTTTATTTACAGCCAAACTCAAGAAGGATTTTCTATGTAATTAAAAAAATGGTCGTTAGGTCAAGGTTATTCGAAAAAACCTGTTTCTCATTGGATGTAGACCGTTCAAACTACATCAGGTCAAAGAATGTACTTTTGTCACAGAAATAGCAGCGTATTAAAACAGTAAAACATAATTTGTTGTTCCCTTATTACGTTGTAACCAGCCCTGTAATGGCCCGCGTGCTGCTTACAGGGAGGATATTCAAATAGATGCCAGTCAAGTGAAGAATTAATGTTACTGATAGACTTTTGCTACAATAATAAGAGGGAGACATTTGTCGACGACGCACTTGATTCGTAGACAGGCGCCTAGGTCTTTGTACCCTGCCTGTCCAAACGATGCATTACAATACTCCTGACCGCAACAACATCGTTTTTACCTTCAGCCAATCACTAACATTTCAACAGGAAGATTCCATCAATAACAAACTCAACTCTGTGGTAATGTTGATTTTACATAATTTCGAAATGATCACGACTATATTATCGTAAATGTATGTTTACAAATCACTATGAAATAGTGCTGATAACAGGTGTTACCGAAAAAGTGAGCATTTCCGTTTTTTAAGCTCTGTGGTAATATCGACTTTGCATTTGAAAAGAATATTTATGCATATAGTTGTTGTTGCAGCGAAAATCCAAAATGTCGGAACAAATTTGGTGTGGTCACATGACTATGAATTGGACATGAGGGGACACTGTTCCTTCACGTTCTCTGTGGCATATTGCGGAGCCTTCAAACTGGAGCTGTACCCTGACAAAGATCTCCCCGAACCCAAATACGAGATCTACATCGATCGTTACAGCTTAGAGAAGTATAAAGTTGGAATTAGGAAATCGTGTGATGCCGCGCATCTACTTTGTTCGAATAACGGTATGAGCACCAGCGGCCACGAGAACACGCCACTTGTCTTCTGTGATGGTTCCACGTGGACGCCGTTCTGGATATCTTGGTTTGGGGGCGTCATCACCCTGGGGAAGGGGACCACTGTCAGAGAAGCCATATTGAAAGAAGTCAGTGATCCACAGTTCACGTATATCGACTATGTGAAGATGGGAGCTGACAATAAGACGACAGAAGCGAATTATAGATTTAGTAAGTGAGTGAGTGAGTGAGTTTCATTTTACGCCGCTTTTAGCAATATTCCAGCAATATCACGGCGGGGGACACCAGAAATGGGCTTCACACATTGAACCCATGTCGGGAATCGAACCCGGGTCTTCGGCGTGTCGAGCGAACGCTTTAACCACAAGGCTACCCGACCGCCCCATTTGGTAAGTAACATCTAAAAGTGAAACAATGGTATTGACCAGTGAGCAGTGTGACCGATAAGGAATGACTTCGAGGCATAGGATGAACAATGTTTTCAAGTTAAATGATAGACACACATGCTTGTTTTGCTGAGTTGGGTCCCTTAGGCGTGCCCCTTTGCTAGTGCCTCAGTTTCGAATCCAGTATGAGCTCTAATTATTATTAGTGATCGGTTAAGGGACGTATCTCTACATAACACAGCACTTTGCCACATGAACCCCGTGGAAACGTGTATTATTCTTGAAATTGTGTACTTGCTTAATGATGGAAGATAGATCATGGTGTTACAGTTTGAAGGTGGCCACATAGGTCAGGCCCAAATGCATGCATGACCTGGGATTATCTGTGGGTCATTGTTAAGGGAACACCAAGAGGAATCGAACATAGTCAAAGTGGTTTGTTTTCCGTTTTGTTTGTTAGAGGATGCCTTAAGTTGACGCAGGTTTTTACCACCTCGTGGATGTGTCGACGTCGTAATCCAATCTGTGATTCCAATCCATAAACAAATATACGTGTATACAGTAAACATGCATCAACATGTCTTCTTTTTTCAATGTACACAGTTTTCTTTACTTTAGAACCCCGCAATGGCAGAACAGTTGACCCAGATATGAGTTGCCGAAATATAGGTGAGTGTATTACAAACTTTGTACATCAGAGACAAGTCTTGCTGTTTATTCTGTAGTCAGAAAACAGTTGACAGGACGCATGTACCTAAAGTAGACAGACTGGCTTCTTGTTGGCCATATGTTGCTTTCTGATTTCACACTTTCAATCATTTAACTGACCCGTGAAGATTCCGGGTTAAAATAGGTCTTCAGCAACCCATGCTTGCCGTAAAACGTGACTATGCTTGTCGTAAAAGGCGATTAACGGGATCGGGTGGTCAGACTCGCTGACTTGGCTGATGCAATTGCGTTGATCGATGCTCATGATATCAATCACTGGATTGTCTGGTCCAGACTCGATTATTTACAGACCACCGTCATACAGTTGGAATATTGCTGAGTGCGGCGTTAAACAAGAAACCAACAACAACAACAATCTTTTAACTGTTGTTCTTCTGGCTTCTTGTTGGCCATATGTTGCTTTCTGATATCACACACTCAATCATTTAACGTTTTTTCTTGGACTTTCAGAACATTTTGGGGGACAATGCACTATCATGTAAGCAGAGGCAAATAAAACCAAAAGATCGAGAATAAAGCATTTTACCACATGCTTGGACTAGTTTGAGAAGCCACTTCAGCACGCTTTTCTGAATTATATCCCTAAGATGGATCCTTTCGTCTGGTTTTAAATCCCAGTTACTGGATCATGGTCATTGGTCAGCATGATGCGAATTTTTCTGGGTTCTTGAAAATCGTAAACGCTTATGTCGTGCCTCTACTTTGGTCTTCTCTTCCACATCAAGCCAACACTTTATGATGTGAATAATTTGCTGCACAGTTAAAACTTATAAAAGAGACGGGCATATCGTAAAGTAATACCTTAACATAAGAAAATGGCATTTCTCTATAAAATCTCAAACTCGAGCAGGCGATCGTGAAATGTAAATAGAATGATCGGCCTTCAGAATGATCAGCTTTGAAAAATGACTTCCACAGATAGAACAGATGGACCCAAAACCTATCGTCCCAAAACACCCGCATCATTCATCCGTGCACGTGGGAAGGGGTAGTTCTTGATTTTGACACTTCCGTTAAAGGTCGTCAAGCTGCTCTGAGCCATGTGTATTGTTGATTCTCATTATCCACAGAAACAAGTCAGCTCTCTACTCTTGCTTTAATTCAGTATTTGTGATCAGGGTGGGAATGCGTCATCTACAACGCGATGGACTCTTAGTGTCATTGGCGTGCTTCAAACTGGTAGAACTCAGCGAGAGGTAGCCACTATGTTCAGTGTGTCTCAGTCTGTCTGTCAGAACAGGTTTTTACAGACACAAAATGTCTATGATCGATCCCGCACAGGGCACCCTAGGTCCAGTATCGATTAATAAAAAACAAGGCTTCAAAGAGAAATCGAGCCCAAGCAGCTAATAAAACCGCTGTTTCACTTGTGCCAGGCCACCGGAGTTCAAACTTACAGACCAGATGATTGGAAAATGTCTGTATGCAGCTAATATACATGTTTGACGATCACGGATGGTACCCCCGATAATTATTCGGTTCATTCTAGCCAGACGCCAATAGTGCTGATTGATCAAGACATATAAAACGTTCATACACATGTCCCTGTCGTCTTCCTTGGCTGTTTGCATCCTTACAATACATAGCCAACACGTCCTGATGATCATCCCATCACACCTAGTTCCTCCTTCTTCTTATCCCTCCATTACCATGAGTCGATACCCCTTTGTATTTCTGTAACCATGTTTATCTCATCGAGGAACGGTTACGGTTTGTCAAGACATGAGTGTTTATTATGTATTTTCTTTGTGATCTATGACAATTAGTTCCAAAAGTAATTCAGGCATAAAGAATTAACGCAATTACATATTAGGAAGAGAATTTACTTCAACAATCAATTCAATATTGATCTTATATTTCCAGATAAATGAAGTACATCATTACGAAATACATAATGAGTATTATTATCATCAACCAGTCTTTGAGAAATTCAGTTTACTTTTTGTAATTGATAATTCTAATACTGTAAATATATCTTCAAGCACACGCCTTCCACGATACTATGTTGTACATATATATGTACATGTATATAATGGGTAGGTTTCTCGGTAGGATAAAGCCAGCAGATAAAAATGATATCCGTTGGGGTCATATGCGGATAGAGATGCAAATATCAAAGGTCAAGTAGGGACTACTTTCATTGTTTATAAACAAACATGGCGTCACCCTTGATATTCGTCGATCGTGTCAAAATTAACCATCGGGAATCTGGAGAAACTACTGGCATAGTTGCTATCATTATCAAACGAATAGTCTATTATACTGAAAATCAGGGTCTTTCTGTGACATAGCTGAGGGATTTTCCAAGTATTGGCAACTTTGGAGATATAAATTGCGAAACAATATAGTGAGGACACTAGCCTCACGGGATCAGATTCCATATCTGTGCTTATAGACCTCTGCGGACTGGAACATTTTCCTTGAATTAAAACAGTTGGATTTGGCCGAAATATGTCCGATTTGTTACCTTGTTTCGTTTTGCGCTGTGTGTACATCTGACTGACACTTCGTAACGCTATGACAGAACTTGCAGACACTAAACAAGTTTCAAAGACTAGGGTTAGAGTAGCTTCCGTTTGATAAAGGGTAGTTAATCCAGCAGACAGACCGATGGATTGCCGCAAAAGGCAAGTAAGAACAATTTGTGTAGGCAATTGTTGTTTTGCCTATATGTAGTTACGCTACTGTATAGGAAATATGTTTCAGTTGGAACTATATTGACTGTTGTCGCTGTCCATCTGACTTAGTATATATTAATGATCACATTCCAGGAAAACTTGCAATGTTTAGGTAATCTTTGTGGGAGATGGGAAGAGATTTTTCGAGCACAGAAATAAAGAATGACAAAATGTGACAAAGAGGTTATCACGCTTGTGTGTTTGGGGATGGCTCGCTAAATACAATGTTTATTCCTAATACGGGTACTTACCATCCCCAAACACATTCGCGTGATAACCTCTACGTATGCACGGAATATTAGTTAACTAAAACATGACATTAAAATTTCTACAATGAAATTACTTCTTCCGTATCATACCAAGAGAAAACATGTAAGTTCCTTGTGCAGTCGTCACCATTACCATTACCAACAGTGAGTGAGTGAGTGAGTTTGGTTTAACGCCGCTTTTAACAGTATTCCAGTTATATCGCGGCGTGTCAGCTTAATGTGGGAGGAAAACCCGAAGTGATGCAGGTCTCAGACGTTAACCACTTCGGTGAAACCCACGAGCACGGGTATGGTGCTGACAAACCCAGAAACATAATCGGGGTCATTACCAACAGAGGGGCAGCGAAACGTGTTCAGTATCAATAATGAAGCACGTGCGTACGCTGACTGTATATGTTCTCTCACACAAGAGGATTATAAAACTAGACAAATGAGCATTTAAATATTCAAATAGATTTTCAAATCTTCTTGTGAAGTGACGTCCCTTGTGCTGAAAGTGATTTAATACACACTATGTTCCGATGGAAATGGTTTTAATTCATTCATAAACGCGATTATCTGATATAGTTCTGTTATTGTCAAATAGCCAATTCCCTTCTACTGATTTACCCACCCGAACTAAAATGATAGTGACTAGATAAATCTACTGTTATATTTAGATCCAAGCACATAGATTCAGAGTGTCTATTAAGTTTCCGTAAGACACTGCAGAACGTTTGAGGTACAGTCAAGCATGCTCATTCTTCGATGTTTTAGAGAGCATCTTTCGACTTGCTAAAACGTTCTTTGATCAGGGATACAGCTTTCAATGCCTTGGGACCGACTTTCTATGGTCTGGTATTTTATGAAATAATTATGATCCAGACTGTAATGTCGTTTTCACTCTTGCAGTGTTAGATTCCGCTATACAATGTACTATATGTCTGTTTCATTTTTTTATTACAACAGACGCTGCAACAATCACAGCTCCAACTGCAACAACTCAGACCGATGGTTCCGCAGCAACCTCAGCGACCGCAACTTCGGCTGCCACAACTCAGACAGGTGGTCCCGAAGCCACCTCAGCAACCGCTCAAACTGTTGTCAAGATGACAGTTAATAATTGTGACAACGAGCGACGGCCTTATTCTGAAGATCTGGCAATGGTTTTCAAAGTAGCAGCCGACGACACAACACTGTCCCCGAGCAACCCCGACGTCGTGGAGCTCTCCTCGGCAACATCCGGCAGCTGCGCCGAGCTGTGCGCTTCACGTAAGACCTGCGTGATGTACAGCATCAGCAACACGGGCACCTGCAGGATCACCTCCGCCTGTCAGCCTGTAGTGGAGGGCGAGACAAACTCGGCAATTCTGTTCCTCAAGTATTGGGGTGATCACATGGACGCCATGACATAACTGAAACAGTGTTGTTTCACTTCTAGTCAATAACTTAAAAACTGTCGTTCACTACAAGCCATTGACCTACTTGTATATTAGGGATGATCTCTAGTGTGTCAGTCACATCACCGTGCTTCCAAGTGGTAAATGTCTAAGACCTGTGTCACTGTGAACAGGCACCCAAAATTAAAATGACATACTGTGATATATCTGAAATACCTTTACAGCCGTGTTTAACCATAATACACAAGCTATTGGGGTGGAAATACAATTAGATTAAATTCTGATGTGATGACCGCAATAATGTTCCAAATTTGTGAATTCTCTGAGGTAACATTTCAGGAAAATTCTATCAGTCAATACATCAGATAGTTAATTTGTTATTATTTACATAGCGTCACAATCTTGTAAACCTTACATTTTAAAACAAATGTTAACTAAATTTACAACTTTACAACTTTCAATGCATCTATATTGTTCCACATGATGCGCTTTCAAATATGAAAACATTTTTTATGTCAAAACCAATTTTATGCTATATGGATCTCCTATTTGAAGACTGTGGGAGAGCTTTGTAATAATAAGTAAACATTAGTATATTCCCAATATGGAACAGTGTGAAAAGTGAGTGAGTTGGGTTTAATGCCGCTTTTAACAGTAGTCAAGTTATATCGCGGCGTGTCAGCTTAATGTGTGAAGAAAGCCCATAAGTGATACAGGTCTCAGATGTTTACCACTTTGGTGAAACCAACGAGCACGGGTATGGTGCTGACAAACCTAAATCCATAATCGGGGCGAACTGGGATTCGAACCCACAATCATAGGTTTCTGGCGTACCCAAGGGACGCAACTCTGCACAGCAAATCGCGGCGCCAGTGTGAAAAGCTCACTGTTGGTGTCCCTCTGCGATGGCATGGCTTGAATGTTTTGTTTTGTTTTTTAAAAATGTTATTCTCAAGAAAATGATTGGTCACATATAGATTTCATGTATGCTTATTTATTATCGATACATTACATGTCAGAAAGCAATAACATTGCTCTAACACGCCTCTTTCTATTCTTCATATATGTATGTACATTCCTCGAAGCTAAAAAGGGTTTTCCATAATGATCAGAAATATGTGCTGAAAGAGTTCATATACTATTCCGACTGTATCAGAACTGTTTAGGAATCGCTGTCTATTAGTGATGATACCAGGTTTTCGCGACAACGCGGTTCAAACATATATAAACCCACATTACCCTTGTGAGAGAGAGGGAGAGAGATCGACGTGGGCTGCCATATATACAGTTAGCATTTGAGGAACATAATACGTCTTAAGTTCTATTTCTTACCTACATTTACATGAGTACTCGAGTATTCGAACAGATGATGATACTGTACCATCTTACATTATATTAAAATATACAATATGTATACATGAATACATCACAATGCAGCTGGTTTACACAAGGGCTAAATATTTAAGTTGTTTGGCCAGGGTAGGGTTGTAAGATAGAAATGTGGAGGCCATTTCCAAATTTAACAAACCAGTGACCAACATTCTGCAATTCCATATTTGAATTTACCACGTACCATGTTATGTTCATGTGTTTGTGCAGGTCAGCACTTGACTTCCCTATGCATTTCTTTGTGACGGGCCGCCTCTGTGGTCTTGTGGTAGAGCGTCCGCCCGGAGAGCGGAAGGTCCGGGGTTCGATCCCCGGCCGCGTCATACCAATAGACGTTAAAAGATGGTACTTGTTGTTACCCTGTCTGGCGCTCGGCATTAAGGGGGCTAAAACAAGGACTGGTCGGCTCGGAGTCAGTATACTGTGTCTGAGTGGGATATTCACGTTAAACTGCGGCATGGTATCTCAGTGAGCTAGCACTGTAAATCGGCATCAGTCCGGACTAGTACAAGCAGCCACACACACACACACACGTGCATGAACGTCGCTATATAAGTGCAATAATCTTGGACGCGACGTTAAACCCAACTTCACCTCACCTCACCTCACCTCACCTCACCTCACCTCACCTCACCTCACCTCACTTCACCTTTGTGACGGATGCAATCGGTGGGTCAATATATGCTTTCATTCAAGCGAACACCAGATATCATCACTATTTAGTCGTGATTCATACTTATGATATAGTCTGAAACATACAACATATTTGCAGACTTTGTATGATTATGGAAAAAGGTTTGCTGCTGTTAGAATTCAGTAATAAGTAAAGATTTGCAGATATGTAAGCATTATTTAGTTTTATCATATTCCTTCTTGAAGAAGCAGTTATACATGTAAATAGGATTTTGCTTGCCTCTTATATTTATATTTCTAAACATAAACGATAAGCTTACTCTGAGAAAACGTGGACAAACAAATTGTGGAAATACGCAAGAATATAATTTTGTTTGTTTGTTGTTTAACGCCGCAATATTCCAGCTGTATGACGCCCAAGAGTATAAGTGATTACATTCAAATATAAAGTGCATTGTGTCCTTCCCTTTGTATCATTCTGTTCAAACAGCTTGTATCAACATGCAAACATAAATTTTAGAAGTGCACGCCAAGCCAAAGGTAATAGTGAAAGTGGTGGAATTATAGCTTGAGGCAAGGTACTTTAATCTGGTCTGAGATCGTGGTATGCATAATGAATGTATTTCACCAAGCCGAAGGTAATAGTGAAAGTGGTGGAATGTTAGCTTGAGGCAAGGCACTTTAATCTGGTCTGAGATCGTGGAATGCTAATGCATGTATGTCACTAAGCCGAAGGTAATAGTGAAAGTGGTGGAATGTTAGCTTGAGGCAAGGTACTTTAATCTGGTCTGAGATCGTGGTATGCATAATGCATGTATTTCACCAAGCCGAAGGTAATAGTGAAACTAGTGGTACGTTTACTAGAGGGAAGGTACTTTAATCTGGTCTGAGATCGTGATTTACATAATGCATGTATCTCACCAAGCCCAAGGTAATAATGAAACTGGTGGTACGTTTGCAAGTGGGAAGGTACTTTAATCTGGTCTAAGCTCTTGGTATGCATAATGCATGTATGTCACCAAGCCGAGGTTAATTGCGAAACTAGTGGTATGTTTGCTAGTGGGAAGGTACTTTAATCTGATCTGAGATCGTGGTATGCACAATGCATGTATTTCACCAAGCCTAAATTAACAGTATAGCACTGAAACAGGTGGTATGTAATGGTTTCTTGTGCTTTCTGGAAATGAAGGGGTTGCTTCCTGTTCACAAGTACTTGCAAACACCTTTTTGCTTTCTGAACGTTTCATTTGATATTTGATAACCGTTTTCAATGTAGTTACTGTTGTGAATGTCTTTTGCATTTTTTCAAATTAATATCATCCATGTGTTGTGATGGCGTTTGATTATGCGATGCTTCTTTAATTTAACATGTGTGGTCGTTTCCAAAGGTCATTTCTATTTTATCTGTATCAACTTTTCCCCTGAATAAAGAGTGCCAGCATTACACTGTTTCTATGCACCAGTTTTCTTGGAGTCTTGGCATCAACAACATCTCGTAACTCTTAAAGACATCATGATCAAATCTACAGATAAGAAAACTGTTAGTTGAACGTATTTAACAGAAAACATTGAATGAGTGTTCAATTGCTCGGTCTTCTTGTTCTTTTTGTCATTTTGTCATGTAGAATTTGAATATTCTCGAACTGGCATTTATTAGCTGCATTTGCTAATACCAATACATAATCTGCCTACAGATATGGATTGAATACGAAGGGCTTTCGGGTTGAGTAAACCCAATTGCTGATGACAAATCTACTTTTGAACCTTCAGCATCAGAAACTGGTTTACGACTTTACGCTTGCTCTTAATCCAAACAACAAATAGGTAACGAATACACTGGTGACAAAGTGTAATTTTAGTATAACTTCTTCAGGTCAAACAAAGTTTCAGCCTGTCAGTTACTTTCCTAACTTATATGTCTTAGTTGTAAGTCAAACTCTAGATTTTATTATATTCATAAGTCTTGTGTTTTGGTTTGGTTGTTGTTTAACGCGGCACTGAGCAATATTCCAGTTAGATGACGGCGGTCTGAAAATAATCGAGTCTGGACCAGACATTCAGTGATTGACATCATCAGCATCGATCTACGCAATTGGGATACGATGACATGCATCAAACAAGTCAGTGAGCCTAACCACCCGATCCCGTTAGTCGCCTCTTACGACAAGCATAGTTGCCTTTTACGGCAAGCATGGGTTGCTGAAGACCTATTCTACCCCGGATCTTCACGGGTCTATACGTTTTGTGGACAGTATTCACTTCAGAATTGAACGTCAGTTTGGATGTGTTCATTGAAGTGGAGGTTCACACAGTTTAACCAGCGCTTTTAAATCGTTCACCCTTCAATAAACCCATCCAAACTGACGTTCAATTCATATAATTTCAAACTTTGTAGTTTACCGGCCTCACCGAATAATATCGTAACAATGATTGCTTCCTTTGAAGTTCTCTGCTTTCGCCAAAGAACACTGCAACAATGTCACGGTGCTGTCGTGTGTGCTGTCGTGTGTGCTGTAACAGTTTGCTGAGCTGGTGTTTCTTGTCACATGTGATGGACCTACTGCATGACCAAATGTGGGCTTCATTTCTGTGCCCTGTTCTTCCTTCCATGTGTCGACGATTCTCGGCCTAGAATGCACGAAGAAAGGTCCTCAACTCAGAAACCGGAATAGTAATCCAGTCTACGGATATTTTTCTCGTCTCCGATCACTAATCTGTAAAACAGGTAGGCTGTTGTCTTATTGAACTTTCTTTCCTTACTTACTTTTTAATGCCTTATTTATTTATGAGCTAGATTAATTTTCTTTGGTCTACCATTGGACATTTCACAGCCAATTTACTGCTTTTCATTATACATTTGCTGTGCCTCGGTTGCTCCAAATCTTCTTCCGATAAAATAGTGAACCGGGTTTTAGTATGGGGTTGATCAGGAGCAGTCGCTTTAATATCTGTGTCGGCGGCCACATCTGAGGGGTGTACTGTCTTGGTGCTAGATTCCAGTCATTTTCCAAGACAAAGGCATCAAAGTCAATAGTGCTGATTAAATCAATCTCGTTCACCTCAGTAACTTTGCAGAATTCATTTTCTTCACTTACGTTACTAGTATTTAGGGATATCCATATCCAAATCACCTTCAGGTAACAAACACCAGAACCAAAGCATTTATATAGTTTTTAGTCAGATAAAATGTTACAAGACCAAGCAAAAATACTGAATTAATTATAAAGCTGATAAATGAGGGGATTAAAAAGGGAAAAGAAAAACGAGTTCATTGTAAACACCAAGAGTTCGGGGAAACCTCGGAAAGTAGTTCACAAAGTTCACACGATAGATTTCACAAAGAATTGGTCACATCGTGTAAACTTTGCGGTCCGTTCACAAGGAACTCTAAAGTTCAGATCAGGTGACTACCCATTAAGCCAATCAGCATGAAAGAAACAGTGTAACTTAAAGTATGAAATGTTCGTTTAGAACGTATGTCACACTACTTACTGAAAACAAGTCTATCCTACTTCCTCTCAAAAAGAAATTTCACTTTATTATATACTTCAGTGTGAAAGATTGAGTTTTCCGAAGTTGAGGAACATGATATTTTCATTGCAGTGAACATAACATTGATATTTCACTGTAGTTGAACATAACACTTTCATTGAACCATTTTCATACAAGAGTTTCCTTCCCGCAAATTGTCTCCATTTATTGTGAGTGTCTGGCTCGTACACAAACTGTTGATTTCCTTCTTATGTTAGTGCCACATTCTTGAGTTAACATCACTTCTTGCCGTTTGATGTTCTCTTGAAAATGTGACTGTTCGTCTTGACCGGCGTGTATACTACTCGTAGCCTTCAAGAATATTTTTGTTGTTGAAGTTGATGTTCCAAATAATCATATACAAATGTATCATAAAGACTTGTAGTGATCTCAAATATTGTTTTTTACTTTTGTTTACATTAAGATTTTGTAAACTAGGAACTAAATTTTAAGTCGTAATTACAAGGTGTGGTTAAACGTCCCTGCGTGTCAGGTAGTGAGAAGTTACGTGTCAAGGTTTTACATTTGTAATGATTTTTTTTTTTCCGGAAGGCTTCTTCACAGAAATATTATATAATAAATGGAATATTCCATGTATCTCGTAAAATATGTTTCTCCCATCTGGTACGGGGGAAATGTGATATTTTTAGTCGTGGCTCCTTTCCCCCATTGCTCGAAACATAAAACTTATGAACGGTTTGGCATGGATGATAAACAAAATACTATACACACAATACACTTCCTAAATACATGCAATGTAAGACATTTGTACACAAATTTTTAGTACATGCATGCTCACGAAACATTAATCTGCTGTACATATGATATCTGATGACTCAGCATCTCACCTTCACTGAGAAGCAAATCACAATACACAAAATTCGAAATATAAGTGGAAATTATACTGTCTGTATGAGGCTGTTTCCCTGGTTGCTTTAATTTCTAGTTCAGATGGATGAATCACAAGAAGGGTATTGGCTGTTCAACCGTTATTGAACTATATCTGATCACTAATATACCTGAAACAGCTGATGCATTTGTTTTTCCAGTCTTGAGTAACGGCATATGCCCACTCCCGTCAGGCCAATAACATACATTATACCAGTGACAAATCACATGTTTACGCTGAACGTGTCTATAGGTAAATCAAACTACAAATATTCTGTTTAATGGAGTACATCTACATAATCATAACGAGACTTTCCGGATAGTTAAATATACTTAAGGCTACTTATCTGCATAGTTTATGAAAACTTACATTGTTTTCAAAATAAATGAAATGAATGAATCTGTGTCATTAAAATCTATGTTCAGTTGGTCAATTCTGAATATACTCAGTGCCTTGGGGGTATTGGTTGAACAGGATACGCGTCTCCGATTGGTCTGAACTCAACATCATCATAATGGAAAGCTTTAGGGCCAACAAATCGCAAAGCCTGATCGGTTCGCAGTATATCTGGAGAGGCCAGTACAAGGACAGCAACTCGAATTCCATATTTCGCCTCTTCTGTCGGAATAGGCTCGGCTGTGTCCGCATCAACGATGGTGATGAGATCTGGGACACATGCAACTGGCTTCCCAGCTTTCTTCTCGGCATCCAAGGGGAATACAACCAGATTTTCATTCTGAAAATCAACCAATATGGTTTGTCCAGAAAAACAGTCAAGCCCTTCAATGATAACCTTCCCTCTGTTGAATCCTCCACTTGTTTCCCTCTGCACGTCCCTGATCTTGCCAGTGATGATGTGGACAGATTTTTCTGTTTTTAAAATGGCCTCAATGGGGGACGTCTTTTCTATTCTGGCTTTTAGAACAGCATCACCGAGTTTCCACGCATGACTGAACGTGTATAGGACCGTTTTTTCCATTATGTCAGCTTTGTTGAGAGGGCTTGCTAATCCTGCGGAACATCCCATCCCAATAACTGTATCTCTGAAGTGATTTTCGAGATGTTTTGGTGAAGGTGTTTGCAGCATTACAGCTCGTGTGCCTCTGTCGTCTACTAAAGCTGCAGGATGAGCAGACACTCCATACATATATGGACAAAACATCTGCAACTCGGGAAATGCCCGTCCAATGCCATCAGAATCAACAACAGGCAGGCCCAGGTCAGCTGACACAAGAAGAGGTTCAATCGCATTCATTCCTCCGATCTCACCAGACATCAAAGCAATTATCCGTTTAGGTTTTTCCATTGATACCCTGGCCTGGTAATTCTCTATATATACCATCCCATCTTTCGTCTTGATTTCAACTCCCTCTGTGTTCTGCAACATGCCATCCTTGTAGCCACCAATGGTGTACAGATCATCCAAACATCTCAACGCTCCAGTTGTTTCATCAGATGCAAGCTGTTCATATGATATCAATGGGGCCCCCATAGCCCCGATTACAGCAACAAGGTCGTTGTGTAGATCTGAGTTATCAAACAGTTTTTCTGGGGAAATTATACGTATTTCCTTTCCCTCTCGTATTTTCTTAAGAGCTAGAAGTCTACCAATATGAGGATTTCCACCACCACCACACCCAAAAATGCCTGAACCAATCACAATTGCCTCTAAATCCCATTCCGAGAGAATCCACTCTCCAGTATGAGGGTCGATCTGAGGATCCACTGGGTGTTTTGTTGCATCTCCTGCCTCATTGTCACCTGCAAGTGTTTTCCCAGTTGAGGTCCCTGTTTGTTTTTCAAGTTTGCCACCAGACACTGATTCATCTTTTTTCAATGGGCTAGGGATCCACTCTTTCGCATTTGCTGATTGCAAATTCTTTAAATTGCCAACAGCCTTTATCTTTATTCTCACTGCTTGACCTGGGATATAGGACAGAGTCATGTCCTCCTTCTGTGTAATTTCAACAGATGTTGGGTCAGCACCACAATCTACTGCTATTTGCTTGGCTTCACGTACTCCATTTTCTAAAGCTGTATCTCTGGCATTGATAAAAAATGGCTTTCGAGCTTGTTCTGCAGCGAGCTCGACTTTCTTTACATCTTTATCATCCACTGCTGCCTGAGTGGCTTCAAGAGCTTGATCCATCTGTTCTTGATCCACCGTATCCTGAAGACATACAATACTATCAGAACTGCCAGACACCTGACTCAGTGCAGCACCAATGGCATTGGCAACTCCTGAATACTCGGGGATAATGACTTCTGAGGCACCTTTAATTTCCTCATTCCTGTCAACCAGAACACTTCCACCACCAACAAGAAGGACAGGTAGTGTTTCCCCACTCAGCTTGACCATATCGATTGCATCTTCAATCATGATAACTATCTTTGCAAGCACTTTCTCAACCAATTCCTTTGATAAATGTTGAACATATTTTGCATCTCCAAGTTTCATCAATCCAGCTGCAACAGCAACATCAGACGTAGTTAAGGTTCGTCCAGAATCGGTGTTGCCATTACTAAATATGAAAGCTTCATTCTTTAGGTTGTACCCTGCGCTGAACGGTCCAATAGTCAGCAAACCGTCTGTTTCTTCTGTGACATAGGACCCACCACCAAGGCCAATACTGAGAACATCTGGCATTCGAAAGTTCGTCCTGATCCCTCCAATCTTTACTTGGGTGGAAGCTTCTCTTGGAAACCTGTTCTTCAGAACACCTACATCTGTGGTTGTGCCTCCAATATCAAGAACGATGGCATCCTTGACATCTGATAAGAAAGCTGCTCCTCGCATGCTGTTTGTGGGTCCTGATGCAAAGGTGTACACTGGATACAACAGAGCTTCATCAGAGCTGATGATGGTGCCATCGTTCTGAGTCAAATACATTGGACAGGACAGACCAACACTTGCTAGTGCAGTCTGAAAACCTTCAACTGTCATCTTGCAAATTGGTTTCAGACACTCGTTTAGTATAGCAGCATTCTCTCTTTCCAGTAATCCAATATGTCCAATCTTGTGAGACAGTGTAACTGAGGCTTCTGGATACTTGTTCGCGATAATTTGAAAAACAGCATCTTCTTGGTCGGTTTTGACAGGAGAGAATATTCCTGACACAACAATGTTTCTTATCTTCTTTTCCTTTATTTGACAAAGGGTATCAGTTATCTGTTTCTCATCAACAGGGTCAATTTCCTTACCATCAAATCTATAGCCGCCATCAACGAGGTGAACACTGTCACATATGACTTCTTTAAGATCTAGAGGAAAATCGCTGAAAGGTGGAAGAGCTAGAGATGCAGTACCACAAAGACGTATCACAGAGACCCGTGCAAGTCCTCTACCCTGTACAACAGCATTTACGAAGTGGGTGGTTCCAATGTTGACCTGCACCACAGCTACCCTATGTCCATTGTCTGTGGCCTGTTGGAGAACGGCGTGAATGGCATTCCGGACAGCGGTAGTGACATCAGCTGATGTTGGCTCTTTCACTGCGGCAATCACTGTGGATCCTTGACTAAGAACTACTGCATCGGTGTTGGTCCCACCAACGTCAACACCGACCACAACGTGAACCACTGAACTTGTTTTGTCATCGGACATCTTTTTATCTGAAAAAACGAATTTGAGTTTTGAAGTCGACATGATATCTTATGTCACATGCAATGTTCATAAAGAAGTAAACACGTTATAGGAAGTAATCAGTGATTAAGTTGGTGTAGATTGGCATGGTCTTAATGGTGAAGAAAATGTCACAAGTGTATGGGGATACGTGTCCTAGCTATTCCACTGTTTAACGTTTTGCAGCTATGTTTAAGGCTAGAAGAACAAGCCTTGATGACGATCCTAGGTCTGGAAGTCCCTCAACTTCCATCAACGAAGATTCAAGCGAGAGACAGAAAAAACTTATGTGGTCAGATAGATGTATTACCATTGCTGAAAACAGGACTAAATCATGGATCCATTGAAACTATATCTGCTCATTGGGTGCCAGAGTTTCTAAATTATAAAAAGGAACTGACATTGCCAGAGACAGTTTATAGCTTATTGAGGAGGATTTCGTCAAATTCAAATAGAGATAGTGCGTGAGTGAGTGAGTTTCATTTAACGCTGCTTGTAGCAATATTCCAGTAATATCACGGGACACCAGAAATGTGATTCACAAATGTACCCAAGTTGGGAATTGAACCCGTGTCTTCGGCGTGACAAGCGAACACTTTGACCACTAGGCTACCCGACCGACCTCAAAAAGAGATAAGTAACGGATGATGAAACATGGGTCTACCACTATGATCCCGAGTCAAAACGTCAATCCATGGAATGGTTCCATTCCACTTCTCCGGCACCAAAGAAATTCAAATCTTCAGTGAAGAAGGTTATGGCCACTGTATCCTGGAATGCAAAGGGTGTAATCTTTGTGGTTACTTAGAAAGTCAAAAGACGAATACAGGTGCCTACTGTGCTGGTTTGCATCATCGCCTCAGAGATTTTATCAAAGAAAAGTGATGAGGAATGCTGACTGCTGGAGTTCTACTACTTCATGATCATGCCTCTTGTAACGCCTCTCGACTTGCAAAGGCTCCTGTGTGACAATGTGGGTTCGAAGAGCTTCATTCTTCTTTCTCTCAGTGTGCATATATTAATTTTTTAAACTGGCGAGTGGCATGGCATACATGCTGCATTAAGTCCCAACCTCAATCAACTTAACTGTACAGCATATTTGTTTTGTTTCATCAGTATGATGATCACTCCACGCTACGAACTACCGTTTTATTAATAAATCATCTGCTTCAACATTGTAATATGCATACCATCGATAAACCAATAGACAATCACATTAATCGGTCCTGTGGTTTACACATGGGAGAAAGGTTGTCTCGTCAGAATTATGTATGAACTCTTATTAAAAAAAAGTATATGTTCAATTTAATGACCATTTGGGACAGGCAACAGGACATTCAGTCCGGGAGATGATTCTATCAGTTGTATTTCGTATCATGTCAAGTCTAATCCAAAAATAGTGCTTTCATTTCTGATATAGTTTATAATTATGCTCAATATGAACGGTTTGTTGAACAAAAGCTGCAAGGAAGAACTGCAACTTTACTTAAATTATTACACAAAAACTTCATTTGATAGTGATTCATAAGTTATTCATAACATTATTCATTAAAAAGCATGCTTATGATAGTCGGTTTCAAACAGTGGACTCTGCTTTGAGCAGTGGTTTCTGGTGAATATGGAGAGGGTTTTGCCGCTTTCCATTGAATCTCCTCATCAATCATTTTTTGACGAGAAATGCAACTTTTTCTCTTCAATTTCACGTTTCTGTTTAGATGCTGGTACTTTCCATCAAACATTCTTTACAACTCTGTGTTATTTCAACTCTGTTGTTCTTACCATTCTTCCAAGGGACAAAGGAGCTAAATAGATCAGTCATACTACAACATCCCAATCATACACATGTATACGATTAAATATACACATGGGATTGCTGCTTTTATGCAAAACAGAGGGGAAAACATACATCACTTATAAGAATGGATGCCATTCATTTATTGTCCGAGTCTACGTGAGCGTGTCTTTGCTGTAGACAACAGGTTCTATTATACATGAGTGCCGCGGATTTGAAAGAAACCTGACTTTACCCTGGGATGTGACTGTTCATTCGATAGTCCCAAATGAAACCATTTCAGTTACATTTCACTGAAGATTTAATCAGGGTTTTCAGTCAACCCACACGCGCACTGCGTGGGTTTTGTGTCTAGCATAACGACTTTACCAAACACACATGGATGGTTTTGCGCGTATCATACCGTTGTTGTTGTTTTACTGTTTACTGTTTAATGATTACTGTCGCACTCATTACTACTCCAGCTATATGACTGTGACAATCGAGTGAGTGAGTGAGTGAGTATGGTTTTACGCCGCTTTTAGCAATATTCCAGGAACATCACGGTGGGGGACACCAGAAATAGGCTTCACACATTGTACCCATGTCGGGAATCGAACCCGGGTCTTCGGCGTGACGAGCGAACGCTTTAACCACCAGGCTACCCGACCGCCCCTGTGACAATCGAATCTGCAAGCCAGTGATATCACGAGCAAAGATTCACCCCGTCATGGTTAGATGACAGGCAATCCACCAAGTCACCGAGCCTGATCACCCGATCCATTAAGTGGCCATTTAAAACAGGCACGGAGCTGTGTTCCTGGGACCAGGCTGCCATTCAACAAGAATAATTAATGATTAAAAACTTGGTAAAAGTTGTATTACTGCCAGCTAATTGTATCAACAAAGGAGAACATAAAGGATCAAAAACCCAATTTACACAGACAATGATCAATGATTAGTTAAATCAGAGCAAATATACAAGCTGATTAACTGACGAAAAACGCCTGAAAACCAAACTAGTATTATAGGTTTAAGTCTCTGTCACTTGGTCTGGCCAATGAAATAACCCCTAAGACCCCATAATATACGTTACTTGACCGACAGAGTATCTATACTTACAAGCATTAAGAAAGGTACCTCACCCAAAAAGTAAATTGACTCCAAATTGTAAATTGGTACTTCACCTAAACTAAGCAATCGCGGAAAGTTGGTTATTCGCGGATTACCAGAACAAAAACGGAGTATAAAAAAGTTTAGCTCAATACAACCAGAATAAATCAGTATGAGATAAAACTGCCCCATGATTAGTTACTGAGTTTCGAATGATCACCCAGAGTGATAAGCTCTGTTCGCAGGTCAACAATTCTCTTACAAGGGACCCGTGAAGATCCGGGATAGAATAGGTCTTCAGCAACCCATACTTGCCGTAAAAGGCGACTATGCTTGTCGTAAAAGGCGACTAACGGGATCGGGTGGTCAGGCTCGCTGACTTGGTTGATACATGTCATCGATCCCAATTGCGTGGATCGATGCTCATGATATTAATCACTAGATTGTCTGGTCCAGACTCGATTATTTACAGACCACCGTCATATAGTGCGGCGTTAAACAACAAACCAACCAACCAACCTCTTACAAGGAAGTACAAACACCGGAGTGTCGCCGGACTTTGCTGAATGGTGACGACGCCGGGTCGTTAAGGGAGCGGTACGGTTACTAGACCATGACTTGACTTGTTCTACGACCTGGTGGCAAGACCAAGATGGATTGCTGGGGATCTTTTCTAACCGGTGAGATGAGGTGAAATGGGGTTTAGCGTCGGATCCAAGATTATTGCGCTTATACACAAAGAAAAAGAGTTAAGCACACCCCTATTTCTGGACCATGACAAATAGCAAAAATCATGGCATGGGATGACTGACCATAGGAGCTTGGCGATTCCAATGTCATCGGATAGAACAAACATTTGACAACAAACAAAGAAAATATTGGTGAGTTGTTATTGAAATTTACTGACAAAAACATCATGGTAACACAGGTACTGTTTTTGACCTTAGACAATACCTAAAAACAGTATGGAGGTTCAGGATTAAGTAAACGAGTTACGTTTGATGTTTCATGTGAAAATGTTCCTTAAAGTCTCCACTTGACATAACACGTGAAACAGATAATTAGCGGGTATAACCGCCATGTACGCGGATGACGCATTCCACCCTACGTCTCATGCCTACAGTCAGACGTTAGATCTGTTGATGGGCCAAACAACCACTCCTGATGCAATGCTGCTTCAATTTGGCGTAAATCTTGTACAGGTGGATATCGTGTCTGTATGCACCGCCCCAGAATATCCCAAACATTTCAAAGGAATTCAAATCTGGACTCATTGCTGGCCAGGGTAGAGTCGTTATGGCATTGGCCCTCATGTAATCCACGGCTGCATGCGGACGATGAGGCCTGGCGCTGTCATCCAGGTAATGAGGTAGAGTAGCAAGAGGGTGGTTGTCAAAATGAGGAACGACGACTGGCCTCAAAACGTCCCGGATGTACTGAGCCCCTGTTAAGTATCCCCTTATGGTGACCAAATCCAATCATGAGAGATACACCCCCAAACCATTACCTAGCCCCCGCCGTATGCAACAGTCGGTTTAATGTTCCTGGGGGTGTAGGCCGTGTTCCAGTGCCTCCAAAATCTCGTTCTTCCATCAGGATCGTTCTCAGATTCCAGTGCTGTCGCACAAAACACCATGCGGTGTGGTGATCTCTCAACAAGGGACGCTTTATGACTCGTCTAGCCCTCAGTCCTGCTTCTTTCAGCCGGTTCCTGATTGTTCTGGAGCTGAAACGACGATTGGGCAACCACAGCTGTTTGAGCCGAGTACTTGTTAAAAAGGGTTCTCGACGTATGAGTCGAAGAAGGTCCCTGGCTTTGTGATGTGTCGTCAAAGGAGGTCTTCCGGGTCTGGGACGATCGTGTACATCACTGCTCTGAGCATGTTTCTCGACTAAACGGCTTACGACAGTGTGATGATACCCCAAATTCCGAACAATGGCATAACAAGACATTCCTACATTATGCATGCCGATTATTTTCCATCTTGTGGCGTTTGATAATCGCCTTCGTGCCATGGTCACCCAATGGAATAACTGTTTAAAACCGAGCGTAAGAATGCAATTTTCACGTTTGGATAAACTGCTTTTAGAGATACTCGAGGGTAGCATGCTGCACGGGCAAACCATGCATGGTACGTGAGCTTTCGTTACGCATGACTGATTACATCTCGAGAAAACATAATTCTTCCCATAATTATATCTTTCATGACTGTTACAAATATTGGGACCAAACAATAATGAAAAATATTAAGGTGTGCGTAAGTTTTTTCTTTGTGTATATATAGCGTGTGTGTGTGTGTGGTGTGTGTGGTGTGTGTGTGTGTGTGTGTGTGTGTGTGTGTGTGTGTGTGTGTGTGTGTGTGTGTGTGTGTGTGTGTGTGTGTGTGTGACTGATGCCAATGTATAGTGCAAGCACACTGAGATACCATGTCGCAGTTTCACATGAATACCCCACAAAGACACAATATACTGACTCCGAGCCGACCAGATTTGTTTTAAGCCCTTAATGCCGAGTGCCAGGCAGGGTAACAACAAGTACCATCTTTTTACGTCTTTTTGTTATGACGCAGCCTGGGATCAAAGCCCGGACCTTCTGCTCTCCGAGCGGACGCTCTACCACTAGACCACGGAGGCCGTCTGTTCTAACCGGAATCTCCATTGAGGATAGGGGTTGTTGTACTGACATCACCGTGTATCGTTAGTGACATCACAATCTAGCTCCTTGACATGGAATCGGGAATACATTTAGTCTCTACTACATGTCATATTCACTTCATACGCCCATGGGAACCATATAAGAACAGCCCCAACACTTTACTGTGACTAAAGCTGGTCGAATGGTCAGGCTTTGAGACTTGAGAAATGCATGTCATCGTCCCCTTGCGCTTAAGGACGATGCTCGTGCCACCAATCACTGTTTGCCTGCCCACGAATGGCTACCTGTTCTAAAGGACGTCTGCCTTGTTAAGCTGCGGCATTGAATGTCAGTGGACAAACACTATTAAACCGGCATCAGTCTGGACTAGTAAATCCAGACACACACAGACACAGACACACACGCACACGTATACGCTCATCGCTGTATAAATGCAATAATCTCGAACGCGACGTTACAGCCGATTTCACCTTACCTGTCCTGCTCTCTGACTCACTGTGTCCGTTTCCACCATTACACAAACACAAGATTAAAGCCTATAGCACCCTGCCAAGTGAAACATTCCTCTTGCATCTCCCCAACAAACCCAAAGGACTAGGGTAAGCTAAAAAGCATACCTATATAATTAAAAAAAACTACCAAGCATCACGTTATAAGAAACACATACCTCCGGGTGCCAGGTTTTACAATCAAATGATACACGGGACAGTCAGCACATTGCCAATCCAGGTTATCTCTCACCGAGGTGCAGAGGAACTCTACACAAAGTGTGTCAAGTATGTCATTGCGTAATGCAACATGGATAGCATGTCACTGTGTCGCCTTAAAGATACGACGGAATAAAAAGTGTGTCTTGTGATATGGACATTTCAGTATAACATTTCATGAGTACCTCTGTATCTGATAATAGAATTGTTGGTTGTCGTGCAGAACTCAGGGACGGTGGAGTAGCCTTGTAGTTAAATCCTTCACGCATCGTAGGCACGGAGTTCGATTCCTCTCATGGGTACATTGGGTTAAGTCCATGTCTGGTGTCTCCCTCTGGAATAATGTTAACAGCGACGTAACACCATACTTATTCACTCACAAACTAGGGCGGTCGGGTAGCCTAGTGGTTAAAGCGTTCGCTCGTCACGCAGAAGACCCGGGTTCTATTCCCGATATGGGTACAATGTGTGAAGCCCATTTCTGGTGTCCCCCGCCGTGATATTGCTGGAATATTGCTAAAAGCGGCGTAAAACCATATTCACTAACTCACTCACTCACCCACAAACTAAAAGAAATCCAAGTTAACTGAACAATGGAGCCAATCACTTCAATATGCTTTGAAGAGGCATTCAGTGGTTACATTGTACAGTTACCCTTACGATGTTTATATATCGTCCATAAATATATCTTATAATGAAACTTTATTATTTTGTTTCGATTGTACATGGTTTTTCATCAAGAAATTTACCACGGAAAACAATCGACACACCTAATTTGACATGAATTGCAGAAATCACTCATTAATTTGTTTTGTTAATCCCAAACTGATCAGCCTTCTCCGTGGTCTTCTGCCCCCGAGTACACCCCGTGATTTTATGCGTGACGAATCGGCTAGTGGCTGCATATTACAATGGCTGCTGAGAAACTTGCTTTAACAGTTAACAATTAATCCTTTAAATAAACAAAAGAGGATTAATCACATATCTATATTACCTTAATCTCATAAAAATCTCATTAAAATCTTTTCGCAAACGCTGAGGATATCCCATATTACAGTTCACGTCAGAACGACCTTTCGCAAACTTTGACCGACTAATAAAATGACTAACTGGAAGTCCACATTAGCCAATAAGAAATAAGCTTTCTTGAGCTTTTCCTGCACAAGTTGTAAACTGACGACTTCCATTCCAGACTACGCTTTCAGTCATGCAACTCGTAACTGTAGTTCGGAATGCCCTGTGTTAAGTTTTTCGAGGATGCATGATTAGAAAAGTACATATTCCCACTAACAATGTAACATAACAATATGAAAATATCCTTTTTAATTATTTTATTACAACGTACGTTTCAACAAACCATGTCGGATTTGTTTCTTTGCTCTGAGTAGAGAAACAGTTGGCGTTTTATAACTGAGACTGGAAATTATTGAAACCAACAGCTTACAAGATCGAAGACTCATCGAACACCTTGTATCAACACTGATTTTGGCAGAGATTTCTTATGAGTATGGAAAGGGTTTTGTCGCTCATACTTCATATTTTACATTCCACCAGCAGAAGTCCAGATCAATTTTTTACATACCGTACATCTCCAGCAATGCCACAAGGTGCTTTAGAAATAGCAAATTGGTTAAGCGTCCATGATGTACCATCAGCTGAAGTAACCACTAAAAGTAGGATCAACTGTTCGAAGAATTCTTCAGGATAGCATTCTCCTCAAATTTGGAATCATCTAATGCATGTCTGATGTTTTATGTTGAACCATGGTTATGTATATATTGTTCACCATCACCACGGAGTGTCATAAACACGATGCTTAATACCAGTGGATCTCCAACTGACAGCACTAAGGATACAATGAGATTGTATGCAAAAGCAGAAGAATTAATTGAAAATAATATCCACCAGATTGGCCCGTGAACCACCGCCTACTGGATACAGGATTCTAGGCACATTATACGTTTAATTTTTGAAGTCAGCATGCGAAGTTCAGTGAATTAACTTGTCCCATACCCTCAAAAGTAGATTAAGTAATCAAATTTGTGCGTGTGAAATATAATGCACAGTGCATGGCGTGACAAGCCCATTGATAGAACCCAGCCCATGCTACCACCCGTCTGGACCAAGTCAGGGTCGAAGTGGTGTGTTGGGCATAGTATAGTTATTCCTTGAAACGGTGCCCTCAACCACCAGACCCCCGTCCTCCGCCGACACAGGGCCAAACATGTCATGCAATTCGGTCGCATTTTACCACCAGCAATGGGGTGCTGGGGACACGCTCTACCACGCGTCCCCATGGGGATTATAATTATTAATATGTTAATGTTACAATGGGATTCATTGCTGCTCGTCAGATTATGAATGTAGCAGGTCAAAGACAATGCAGGAAGTTCAGATTTTCACAAAGAACATAAGAAATGTCATTTCCACATGCAACACACAAACGTTTCAGAAAGTCAAGGCAGGACAGGTGTTTGTTGCAGATTCTTCAGGACTAACTCTTTATGCCTGTGTTATCAAGTCGTTGTGGCCTCACTTCATGGACCATTATTTTGACTTGTGTATTTTCATTGATGGTAATGAGAACACGAATTATTTTCTTGCTGTTACTTGATCGTGGTGGTCCACAGGGATTATCTTAGATGACCACATTTTGTGTCTCATTCGTTTGAGTAACAAATCAAAGGTAGTTTAAGTACATATCAGCTTTTTAACATTCGCCTTTCAGGCTTCTTACAGACCGAATCAAACGGATCAGATACTTTATATTCATTCATAAATCCATTAATAATATGGAAACTGTCTCTTTACAAACGATCTTTTCGTCTTTGTTTAAACGATTATTCTTGTGATACACTTAAGAAAGCTTTGGGAATATTTCTTACAGCCTTTGGAAATTTGAAGTTACCACTTTGAAATAAACTCCCGGGTAAAAGAAAGTATGCAATCATTGGCGGTGAGGTGAAATGGGGTTCAGCGTCGCGTCCAAGATTATTGCACTTATATAACGACGTACATGCATGCGCGCGCGCGCGTGTGTGTGTGTATGTGTGTGTGTGTGTGTGTGTGTGTGTGTTGGGGGGGGGGGGGGGGGGGGGGGGGGGGGGGTGGTGAAAACATATATTGACCCACCGATGGCACCCGTCACAAAGGTGAGGTGAGGTGAAATTTGGTTTAACGTCGCGTCCAAGATTATTGCACTTATATAGCAACGTGCATGCACGTGTGTGTGTCTGGCTGCTTGTGCTAGTCCCGACTGATGCCGATTTGTAGTGCTAGCTCACTGAGATACCATGCCGCAGTTTCACATGAGTACCCAAATCAGACACAGTATACTGACTCCGAGGCGAAGAGTCCTTGTTTTAGCACCTTAATGCCGAGCGCCAGACAGGATAACACGTACCATCTTTTAACGTCTTTTGGTATGACGCGTCTAGGGATCGAACCCAGGGACACTCTCTGGGCGGACGCTCTACCACTAGACCCCGGAGGCGGTCCCAATATCATTGGAACGATCACCATCAAATGACTGTAGTGCAAGACTGAAATATTTACCTCAGAGGAAAAGCTGTAAATCTTGAATTCTTTATCGATTAAGATAGTAACAAAAGAAGCACATACCAGTACGTCCATAGCTGCTTGGTACCATGGGATACTTTATAGGCATGAAGGGACACTGAAGACGTTACATAATAGAGGCGTCGATTCAAAACGAGGTTTAGTTGGAATAACCACACACCAGTGACTGTCCTTGTGGGAAGTACATCGCTGGTTCTGTCTCCCAGTATGCATGCCTTGTTGTTCCTATGTCTTCTGTTCGTGAACACACATATTGTGGCAAGTGGTAAGTTGGTTTTTTTCTTCATCTGATGAACTACGATATAGGAAGCTTGTATCAGCGTATTTTGCTTTGATCTTTTAGAATGCGAGATCCCTGTAGCCACATCAAGGAATGCTAGCCTCCTAATCATAATGATACAAAGAAAAGCGTAGTGGCTCTGAATACATTAGAAATGTGAAACGGCGCTTAAGATACATTTGTGGATTTGAAGCTGACAACTTGAGGTGAATTATTATATAATCTACCATGATGTTAAAGATATTGACAGTTCTGAAAGCCTGTATGGGTCACATAAATCACTCCATACTACCAGACGTTTTTATTTTATCATACATTCAAAAACTGTGCTTGAATGGTGTTTGACCAAAGGTTACTAAACTTTGCATGAATATTTCTGTCATCATTTTCATAGGCATTATGTCAATGTGAAACAGCCGAGACGGCTTCACTGGTTACCCTTATGGGGAGTGCATTGGTTATTGGATGGTTATTGAACAATATCAAATCATGGATATACCTGAAACCTAAGTTAAACTTCTTGGCCAAAGTATCTATTTTGGTTTTGCAATCTGGCATTTGCGTCTTAGAGGAAGGAATAAAGTTTTTTCCCTTTCATTTGAAGTGTGGCAGATGGGTGCACAAAGTAGGAAAATCCATTTTCATACATAAGTGAACTTGGATGTTTTCTGAGATTCACTTATTCAAGCAAATCCTTTGAGATTTTGAGAATTCACAAGGTTTTAATTCCACTTGTTTGACATACGTACTGTGAATATATAAAAAATCTTACCTTGGATGTATTCAGGACATCTTGTCTGACATACGTACTGTGAATATATAAAAAAATCTTACCTTGGATGTATTCAGGACATCTTTGAGACAATGGTATGGTAATACGTTTACTGGACGCTGCAATGTACCTTTATTACATGTTGATTTTTATGGAGCTTTGAAATCCAGCACAGAAGAACGTGTCTTCAGGTTTTAGAATCAGGCCACAAGTTGATAGTACTGATGCATGGTTTTGGCAGACATGCTTTCACTTTCCGCGAAACACTTCGTGTCATCACTGATTTTCAATGATCCATTCATATAATTTCACCGTTACTTTTGCCTTTTACGCCCAGTGGCATCCGTTTCTGCAGATAATCGACTGATTATTCTCTACCGTTGACGTTGTATATTTCCTCATATATACTGGTCTCATTTGTGGCATTATTATATGTCACTCATGCCAAGATCTTTGATCATGTAGTGACACGTACATATAATATGTCCCCGTGGAGGCGTGAGGTAGAATGAATCCCCAGCACCCCATTGCTGTTGTAAGAGAGACGGAATTGGGTAAGGTGAGGTGAGGTGAGGTGAGTTGAGGTGAGGTGAAATGGGGTTTAACGTCGCGTCCAAGATTATTGCACTTATATAGCGACGTGCATGCACGTGTATGTGTGTGTGTGTGGCTGCTTGTACTAGTCCGGACTGATGCCTATTTATAGTGCTAGCTCACTGAGATACCATGCCGCAGTTTAACATGAATACCCCACTCAGACACAGTATACTGACCCCGAGCCGAAGCAGTCCTTGTTTTAGCCCCTTAATGCCGAGCGCCAGACAGGGTAACAACAAGTACCATCTGTTGACGTCTTTTGGTATGACGCGGCTGGGGATCGAACCCCGGGCCTTCCGCTCTCCGGGCGGACGCTATACCATTAGACCACGGAGGCGGTCCCGAATTGGGTAAACAGTGAAGATTCGAGTAAGAACTGATCTCATAACAACACGAAAACAAAACTCTATTATGACCATCTCCATAGTCTAGTGTATAGAGGGTCTACCAAGAGAGCGAAAAGTAGGAGATTTGTTGATTATTACTTTACTTTGGAAGCGAAGTGGCATATGAGTTTCTGCAACAAATCATTATTTTTCATCCCTCATTGGGATATAAACACGACTTACTGCTTGAAAGTGTTCACTGAACAAAGATGTATAAAGCTACATGCAGCGAGGCCCGTGAAGATCCGGGGTAGAATAGGTCTTCAGCGACCCCTGCTTGCCGTAAAAGGAGAGTGTGCTTGTCGTAAGAGGCGGCTAACGGGATCGGGTGGTCAGGCTCGCTGACTTGGTTGATGCATGTCATCGATCCCAATTGTGTGGATCGATGCTCATGTTGTCAATCACCTGATTGTCTGGTCCAGACTCGATTACTTACAGACCGCCGTCATATAGCTGGAATATTGCTGAGTGCGGTGTAAAACAACAAACAAAAAAACAGCGATTTCTCTTGTCGTAAAAGGATGCAAGTGCTACCTTAGCACTGTTATGAGTGTATTAGAGCTCGAAAAAGTGTTCTGTTCTTTTGTCAAGTGTCCATGCTCTGTTCCAGGACTGTTGAGAGTGTGTTCGAAAGCTCGTAAAAGTGTTCTGTCCTTTTGTCAAGTGTTCATGCACTGTTCCAGCACTGTAATAATATAATGTAATAACTTTTGACTACCTTATCGCCACACCACCGAGGACCAATTACCGCAAAGACCAAGTTATAGCGCGTGACGAGAGATTCGTTTTACTTTTGCTCGTTTCCATTTGAAGGGAGATGGAAAAGACGGACAAATTATGAATTGATTCTTTTGTGGAAATATTAAAAATACACATTGAAAGCGCCTTGCTGCAATATACATGTAAATTTAGACAACACCAACAACCAGATGATCCACATTTCGGCTAAACAAGTTCAGTAAGAGCTAATTAGGCCTGTTCGTAATTAGCAAGCATGTTTCTGTCTCTACCCGAAAATACAATTTAATAACCTATATAGCGCTTTAAACTAAGGCAATAACTAGCAGCCTACAATTAGTCGACCTTAAAATACTTCCATTGTTCTGATTCCCTCTCTTCGCTGTATAACAGGAATCTACTCAACCGTTCCAGTAGAGTGAAATGAGTGATATTATTTCACAAAAATTCACAAAGTCAGCAGTTTCGTACATGTACAGTAAACTTTAAACAGTAATGATTTCAGAAATAACACGGAAGAAATGGCGATAACTGTCAGTGGTCAGTATGCGATGCATACGTCAAATACACAGAAACTCGATGATATCGTGTTTATAATTATTCGTACAGAAATATTCACACCTCTCAGAACAAATAGAAAAGGAGTGAAATCCGCCATCTTGGTTCTTATTAAAGATTTCGCAATCGGTTCGAATCACAGCTCGATATCGCATGGCACGTATTTCAACCTATTGACACTTGCTAAGCAAACCATGGGCTACACAATCGTGTTTATCTGTGGTCACCTTACCTCGTACATATTTTAAAACAACCATTCGATCTCAACCCTAAGCTTCGCCGTCCAGGTAAACAAGAAAAAGATGGGCGGAAATTACGGCGCAACCCGGACCCGAACTCAACTAACGTTTCTGATTGGCTGAAATAAACAAATAGTAGATCTTAATATCAGCAAACGGTGAAGGGAGGGAAATTCAAAACCGTCAATGGTAGGCCTGCTTGCAAAATATTGGGTCTGACAAGGAAAACTACAGCATAATTAAACATTTCGAAGCAGATTTAGCATTGACGGTCATTCTCCATGTGCTAATATTATGATATATTTTTTTAACCTTCAGAGACGTTTACTGAGTTCAAGCCCGGGAAGGGCCGTGAAGACACCGGTAGGCCCGTGAAGATTCCGGGGTAGAATAGGTCTTCAGCAACCCATGCTTGCCGTAAAAGGCGACTATGCTTGTCGTAAAAGGCGACTAACGGGATCGGGTGGTCAGGCTCGCTGACTTGGTTGATGCATGTCATCGATCCCAATTGCGCGGATCGATGTTCATGATGTAAATCACTGGATTGTCTGGTCCAGACTCGATTATTTACAGACCGCCGTCATATAGCTGGAATATTGCTGAGTGCGGCGTAAAACAACAAACCAAACCAAACCATTAAGCCCGTGTAGCGCCTTAATTTTATGTTTTCTAACGTTGCCCTAGAGAGACGCAATAACGTTCTGGAGATTTAAGTATCAAGAGATGAAAATCCAAACGCCGAATATATAAGAAAGTAATGCATTACTGCCTTTGTATTGAGACGAAATGAAGTTGATATTGATGAATCAGTTCTATTCCAAAATGACTATCAAGAAGCAAACTGTATAAGGTTTCACCGACGTTTCAGCAACGTGGTTACAAAAACGTTGTGTGATGTCCGATTTCACAACGTAAATGTGCAACTTTGTTGTTACTTTGTGAAATAACGTTGCACGTTGTATCACGAGGCTAACAATCCACAACGTTACCACAACGTCGTGACAACGGGGATAAATGTGTTTGGTTACTGGTGGTGTAATTGCAATGTATGACTCTTTCTGTTTCTAAGTTACAACAGCAACCACGTCTCCTGCTGCTACAACTCAGACAGGTGCTTCCGCAACTACATCGGCAACCACTTCTCCTGCTGCTACAACTCAGACAGGTGATTCCGCAACAACCATAGCAAACACTTCTCCTGCTGCTACAACTCAGACAGGTGATTCCGCAACAACCACAACAACCACTACCCCGGCTGCTACAACTCAGACAGGTGATTCCGCAACAACCACAACAACCACTTCTCCTGCTGCTACAACTCAGACAGGTGATTCCGCAACAACCACTACCCCGGCTGCTACAACTCAGACAGGTGGTCCCGCAACAACCACAACAACCACTTCCCCGGCTGCTACAACTCAGACAGGTGGTCCCGCAACAACCACAACAACCACTACCCCGGCTGCTACAACTCAGACAGGTGATTCCGCAACAACCACAACAACCACTTCCCCGGCTGCTACAACTCAGACAGGTGATTCCGCAACAACCACTACCCCGGCTGCTACAACTCAGACAGGTGATTCCGCAACAACAACAGCAACCACTTCCCCGGCTGCTACAACTCAGACAGGTGATTCCGCAACAACCACTACCCCGGCTGCTACAACTCAGACAGGTGATTCCACAACAACCACTACCCCGGCTGCTACAACTCAGACAGGTGATTCCGCAACAACCACTACCCCGGCTGCTACAACTCAGACAGGTGATTCCGCAACAACCACTACCCCGGCTGCTACAACTCAGACAGGTGATTCCGCAACAACCACTACCCCGGCTGCTACAACACAGACAGGTGATTCCGCAACAACCACTACCCCGGCTGCTACAACTCAGACAGGTGGTCCCGCAACAACAACAGCAGCCACTACACAAGGTGCGTCGCACGCAGGTTGATAAACCCTTGCACGAAACAAGCTCATGCTTAGATGATCGTTAAGGTTAACGTCTTAGCTTGTTCAGATCCAACTAAAGTTGATTATATATATGCAATGAACTTTTCATCAGTTAAAGTGTCTTATGTGACGTTAAGTATTTTTTCTTTACTTTAATTATTTAATGTGAAGTTTGCACGATATACGGCGTTTTCATTGGACGAAAACCCGGGCACAGCGAAACTGACGTTCATGAAAGACACACTTTGACGTACATATGTTTTTCACAAGACTGTATTCTTGAAATGATGGAAACACTACTTCCGCATTTCTGAGGAAACCCCTGGAAATTCCCTAGCATTAAACAATACAAAAGCGTTGTTTCTGATCATTTAGACCCTTTAACCTTGAACTCAGCGTATTAGCATACATTAGGTAAAGTCAGAGCGTTTGACTGCATGCCCCTGTACAAATATCATGGCTACGACCTATCCAGGTAAACAAAACAAGGAAACTAAACTAAGGCACACCTAAACTATCGACTCGATCCGTGTCTAGAAAGACAGTGGCAGTCAACTCTTTCTTTTTGAATTTACTTCAGTGTCTACTTCATTAATAATCACCTTTCAATAATCAACAAGTGGATTAATGATAACTTACATTTGCAGTCGCCACAGGTTCATTAACAATTTCGAAAATGTCTCCCCGTCGCGTTGATGTGTCGGACATGTAGATAAATATAACTGTACAAAGACGTACTGTCAGCGTGACTGACTTATTGAGGTAGTTCTTAACAGACAACATCTAACAATGATACTGGATTACTAGAAAAGATGTCATTTGTTATTTGAGCATACATACGCTCTTGTCACCACTCCTTGTTGGCTGAAATTGTATCGTATATTTCTTTCACGCCTCGCATTCCTTTAAACTACATGACCATTTCTATTTTTAACCCAGCTTCATCAACCGGTAGTTTGACTGATGCTTATCAGAAAATGGCCGTTAGTAATTGTGGCAACAAACGACGACCGAATTCCGACAATCTGGCAATGGACCGACTTTCTATGGTCTGGTATTTTGTGAAATAATTATAATCCAGACTGTAATGTTGTTTTAACGCTTGCAGTGCTAGATTCCGTTATACAATGTACTATATGTCTGTATCATTTTTTTTTATTAAAACAGACGCTGCAACAACCACAGCTCCAACTGCAACAACTCAGACCGATGGTTCCGCTGCAACCTCAGCGACCGCAACTTCGGCTGCTACAACTCAGACAGGTGGTCCCGAAGCCACCTCAGCAACCGCTCAAACTGTTGTCAAGATGACAGTTAATAATTGTGACAACGAGCGACGGCCTTATTCTGAAGATCTGGCAATGGTTTTCAAAGTAGCAGCCGACGACACAACACTGTCCCCGAGCAACCCCGACGTCGTGGAGCTCTCCTCGGCAACATCCGGCAGCTGCGCCGAGCTGTGCGCTTCACGTAAGACATGCGTGATGTACAGCATCAGCAACACGGGCACCTGCAGGATCACCTCCGCCTGTCAGCCTGTAGTGGAGGGCGAGACTAACTCGGCAATCCTGTTCCTCAAGTATTGGGGTGATCACATGGACGCCATGACATAACTGAAACGGTGTTGTTTCACTTCTAGTCAATAACTTATGGGGATGGTCTATGGTCGCCATGGTGATATAATTTAAATACTGTCGTTCAACACAAGCCATTGACAAACGTGTATATTGGGGATGATCTTTTTGTCGGCACCATACACATTAAGCTCAGATGCTTAATGACATTCTATTAAATGCAATGGCAAACCGCCATTGACTACCGCCCTCACATTATTGGGGTAAAACTTAGATAAGGTACTTGTGGTGACAACTTTAATTCACAGTTAAGAAAGCCTTTGTCGGAAAAGTTAAGAATTCGCATCTTTCTGAGAAGCTGTTTCATCAGGCTCACTCTTCGTGAACACCTGGTATCATCACTATTTGATGGTGATCAAAAACAAATAATTATTCTATAATCGGATTCAGAGTGTGAGTTAAGTAATCAAAATTCATTTATAAATAATACCCACATGTGTTCTTCGGGATTTTATTTGTTTAGATTCGACAGCCCTGACCATGCCCACTGTGTTCCACGGTACGTCAATGTAAATTAGTCATATATTAATATAGATCTGGTACTAATATCCAGCTTCAGTCTTACATCTTTGTTCAGATCGAGATAATACTCCTGAAACCGCTTTTGACTATCAAAGTGACTTGATGCGAACATTCTGCTTGCCCCGGTGAAGTCTGTTTTGAATAATTTTTAAAAGGAGGTAGATTTCCGTTTCTTTGATTTTCAGATGATGAATGACACGATTCTTACTGAGATAGAAGTTTCTGAAAACAAATCATACAAAATCAATAACATTTGCCTCGTCATGTTTTCGGCTCGATTTCTCAAGGGCAAGGACAGGTTATAAAATCAATTGATATGTCAGTCGTATTAAATGAAATTGATCACGTACTATCTTGAAATACCATATATATAGCCAGTTATATATCATCCCCAACTGGCTCCCACGGGAGATATCGCTTGGTTGAGATGAGATCAGGCGATATCTACATTGCAGACCATTGTGCTGTCATTGGTTACCATGACGTCACAATTCAAGGACAATACTAATGGTTCTGCTACTGAAGCTGTCAGTAGTACTGATGACACTTAAGAAGTCATTGCTTATTACTGTCTACAAACTGAAAAAAAGTTGGAAGAATGATGTTGGATGATAGATAAAATGTTATCCTCGTGTCTTTTGATATCAAATATATCACCACTTTCATCAACTCTGAAATATTTGAAATAAAAAGACACGAGGGTGAGATTTTCTTCTTTTTTCTCTCTCTCTCTCTCTCTCTCTCTCTCTCTCTCTCTCTCTCTCTCTCTCTCTCTCTCTCTCTCTCTCTCTCTCTCTCTCTCTCTCTCTGCCCCGTCACTCGATGAAACCACTTGTTACCTGTAATTTCATGTCTATCTATATGTATATGCCATGTACCACATTTCACTACTTGTCATATTTTACGTCCTGAATAAAAGCAGCATGCTCAAATACAGAACCGTTGTGCGTGATTACTGAGTGAGTGAGTGTGGTTTAACGACGCTTTTAGCAATATTCCAGCAATGGCACGGCGAGGGGACACCAGAAATGGGCTTCACACATTGTACCCATGTCGGGAATCGAACCCGGGTCTTCGGCGTGACGAGCGAACGCTTAACCACTAGGCTACCCGACCGCCCCATGACTCTGAGGGGGCACGGGTGGCCCAGTCGTCTAAGGCGCTGGTTCGAATCCTGGTTCGCCCCGATTATGTTTCTAGATTTGTCAGCATGACACCCGTGCTCGTGGGTTTCACCGAAGTGGTAAACGTACGAGACCTGCATCACTTCGGTTTCGGGCTTTCCTCCCACATCAAGCTGACACGCCGTGATATAATTGAAATAATGTTAAAAGCGGCGTTAAACCCAACTCACTCACTAATAACTCAAGGAAAGCCCACGGGCGGGCACGTAGCTTCATTATCTTTATCAGTTATATAACTGAATAATTGTCAATCTGTGTATTCACACTTCCACAATTACTAGTCAATAATTGAATAACATTGACTCCTGAATGGGCTCAGCATAGTAAGCAATTGCGGACCCCTTTTTCTGTATTAACTTGGGTTCATTTTCGGTAACGTTAACACATCTCCTAAGAATGAGTGAGTGAGTGAGTGAGTTGGGTTTAACGCCGCTTTTAACAGTATTCCAGTTATATCACGGCGTGTCAGCTTAATGTGGGAGGAAAGCCCGAAGTGATGCAGGTCTTAGACGTTTACCACTTCGGTGAAACCCATGAGCACGGGTATGGTGCTGACAAACCTAGAAACATGATCGGGGCGAACCGGGATTCGAACCCACAATCATAGGTTTCGGGCGTGCCCAAGGGACGCAACTCTGCACAGCGAATCGCGGCGCCCCAGACGACTGGGCCACTCGTGCCCCCCTCCGAAGAATGAGTCTTGTATGGTAGTCAAAGCTATCTGGCCCGTTTATCCTACATGGTTAGCGGTGTATGAAGCTACACATTTGCCAAAATGAGTTTTTAATGTCCGTTTGAATGATTTTGGGGAGTATGAAGTTTGGATGTGACTTTTCCCTTCCCAGTTCTGAAACATACTTGTAAATATAACTGATGATATATGTTAGGTATGGGTAAATTAATATACTTCCAGTATCTACCTGAAAATAGCATGCTCACGCTATAGGTTCATTCCACTAATTTTCGTATGCACGAGGGGGCACGGGTGGCCCAGTCGTCTAAGGCGCCGCGATTCGCTGTGCAGAGTTGCGTCCCTTGGGCACGCCAGAAACCTATGATTGTGGGTTCGAATCCCGGTTCGCCCCAATTATGTTTCTAGGTTTGTCAGCACCATGCCCGTGCTCGTGGGTTTCACCGAAGTGGTAAACGTCTGAGACCTGCATCACTTCGGGCTTTCCTCCCACATTAAGCTGACACGCCGTGATATAACTGGAATACTGTTAAAAGCGGCGTTAAACCCAACTCACTCACTCACTTACTCGTATGCACGGGCGCACACTCTACATACATAACCTCATAAAACACTAGACCGCCTCCTCGGTCTAATGGTAGACGCCCGTAGAGCGGAAGGTCCGGGGTTCGATCCCCAGCCGCGTCATACCAAAAGACGTTAAAAGCTGGAACTTGTTGTTACCCTTTCTGGCGCTCGGCATTAAGAGGCTTAAACAAGGACTGATCGGCTCGGAGTCAGTATACTGTGTCTGAGTGGGGTATTCATGTTAAACTGCGGCATGGTATCTCAGTGGGCTAGCACTATAAATCGGCATCAGTCCGGACTAGTACAAGCAGCCACACACACACACACATACACATGCATGCACGTCGCTATATAAGTACAATAATCTTGGACGCGGCGTTAAATCCCATTTCACCACCACCTCATAAAACAGTGGGGTAAATAGACAACGTAGCACAGCGACATTGTCCTGACGTTGATGGAATCAAACGCCGTATCAACTGTCAACTATAATATTCAGAGTAAGAAGCATTGCAAAACATATCGATCGTATCATTTATGTTTAGTATCATTAATTTGACTGAAGGTGATCAATTCACGCTGCAGTCAAATATGGGCTTGACAGTAAAGCAGTAGAAAAATGTACACTTATTATTCCATCATGTTTTCCGGTGTTGTGTTAGTGATCATTCACACACACACAAATCAATAGCATGACGTGTATACGGTTCAAACACTGTGACAGACACTATTGTGACACAAATGAATCTTGATTATTGATTATGTGCAATCTATCGAGAGTTTCAGAAACACGTGACATCGTCACTATTAGAAAAAATCAGAAATGAGATAGAAATATTACATGCTGCTGTAGATTCGTAGTTTGTTCAATACTGTATTAGAGTAGTGTACTCACTTCATTCACGAAATTAACTAATTTAAGTCACAAAACACGCTCAGTACTGTATGATTAGGCGATAGAGTATTAAAACGTTAAAACAAATGAGTTACCATTGTGTGTCTAGAAGAAAGTAAAAAGAGACAAGTATAAGCGATAAATATTTTACTTATGGCATAAAAGATTAGCTTGTCTATGAAGCCATGTTACACACACACACACACACACACGCGCAGGCGCACACTTATTATCATGGAAATTAGTTACCACATCCCTTAGTTACTCTATTCCTATTAGTTACCCCATCCCTTAAGTTAATAATAATAATAATAATTGATTTGTAAAGCGCCTAATATCCATCGACAGTTGCTCACTGGCGCTGTGACAAAGTTAAAAAGTAATGTCTATGTACATATGTCAACAATCAGGAGGTCTATTGAAAAGCTGAAGTGAAGAAGTGGGTTTTGAGGAGAGACTTAAACGTTTTCTTAGAAGCAGAGTTTCTCAGATTCAAAGGCAAAGAGTTCCATAACTGTGGACTGCAAAAGGAGAAGGCACGGTCAGACATAGCAGAGGTAGACAGAGGCTGATACAGTAGAGTTCCACCAGAGGATCGGAGAGCGCGCTCTGGAGAGTACAGGGATATAAGATCTTTGAGATAGTCTGGATAGTCGCTATTGTTGAGGCAGTCGTGAGTGATGATACATATCTTATAGTTTAAACGAAAGGAGACTGGAAGCCAATGTAGTGCTTTGAGGACAGGACTGATATGATTGGATCTTGGAACTTTAGAGATGCATCTAGCTGCAGAGTTCTGAATGCGTTGTAGCTTTGATGTGGCTTTTATGGGAAGATTAGCATACAATGCATTGCAGTAATCCTGTTTCCCAATCACTTCAGTTACACCCCTTCCCTTAGTTACCCCATCCCTCTAGTTACCCTATCCCTTTAGTTACCCTATCTCTTTAGTTACCCCATCCCTTTAGTTACCCTATCCCTTTAGTTACCCTATCCCTTTAGTTACCCTATCCCTTCAGTTACCCCATCACTTTAGTTACCCTATCCCTTTAGTTACCCTATCCCTTTAGTTACCTCATCCCTTTAGTTACCCTATCCATTTAGTTACGTAATCTCTTAAGTTACCCTATCCCTTAGTTACCCCATCCCTTTAGTTACCCCATCCCTTTAGTTACCCCATCCCTTTAGTTACCCCATCCCTCTAGTTACCCCATCCCTTTAGTTACCCTATCCCTTTAGTTACATAATCTCTTAAGTTACCCTACTCCTTAGTTACCCCATCCCTTTAGTTACCCCATCCCTCTAGTTACCCCCATTCTTGTAGTTACCCCATCCCTTAAGATATCCCATCCCTTAATTAACCCCTTACTTTAGTAACCGCATCCCTTTAAAGTCCCCATACCTCAAAGGTCGAGAACACCGCCCGGGACGAGGGTCGAGGACAACGCCTGGACAAGGGTTAACTGCAGTTGTAATTCAAAATAAACGTATCGGATTTGGTTCAACAAAATAAGTCAATACGCACCAGTGTGACTGGATTTCTGGTCCACCACTTCATTGTATGTATTGTTTATATGGCGCCGTCGCATGGGAGACGTACTGCTTTGTCAGGATTGCATACATTGTTATGGGGGTTGTGTGAGTGGTGGTGCTAGCTGTAAGTAGCTTACCCTTTTCACGAACGCCTGGCATCAGCACTGATTTTCAGTGATGCATTCATATTATTTTTACTGCTATTTTGCCTTTCACGCCCAATGGACACTGTTTCTTCGGATAATTGAGCCTAGTTATTCTCTGATGTTGATGTGGGCGGTCGGGTAGCCTAGTGGTTAAAGCGTTCGCTCGTCACGCTGAAGACCCGGTTCCCGACATGGGTACAATGTGTGAAGCCCATTTCTGGTGTCCCCCGCCGTGATATTGCTGGAATATTGCTAAAAGCGGCGTAAAACCATACTCACTCACTCACTCTGATGTTGATGTATCATATATATTGTCATTCACTGGTGTTACATTATCACTATCCACATCTTCACAACAGTGTCACAGCAGCACCGACTATCCATAGCCGTAAGAGGCATCGAACGAGACCGGGCGGTAAGGCTACCTGACTTGGTTGATGCATGTCGTCGTATCCCAATTGCATAGATCGATGCTAATGGTGTCAATCGCTGGATTGACTGGTCCAGATTCGATTATTTACAGTCTGTCGTCATGCAGCTGGAGTATTGCTGAGTGCGGTGTTAAACAAAAAACCAAACAACAAATCATTCTTCTTTCTCACATAGAGACAATAGAGCCCCCCTTTTCCTCGGACGCCCTA